CGTGTGGAAGCTAATGCATTATTTAAAAAAGGTACATATTTTTGTAAGTACTATACTGTAGCAGCAGCAAATTATTCAGATTTTGGGCATTTTTTTAAAAATGCTGAATGAAACAGAAACCGAAGGAGAGCAACTCAACCCCGACGTGGGCTGCGTCGCGAAGGAACAGATAGATACAAATGTTAAAAAAGAGCATGCAATGGAAAATAGATATCTATTGGCAATGGGAAAACTGTCATCTCTATGGGCAATGGGAAAACTGTCATCTCTATTGGCAATGGGAAAACTGTCATCTCTATTGGCAATGGGAAAACTGTCATCTCTATGGGCAATGGGAAAACTGTCATCTCTATTGGCAATGGGAAAACTGTCATCTCTATTGGCAATGGGAAAACTGTCATCTCTATGGGCAATGGGAAAACTGTCATCTCTATTGGGAATGGGAAAACTGTTATCTCTATTGGCAATGGGAAAACTGTCATCTCTATTGGCAATGGGAATACTGTCATCTCTATTGGGAATGGGAAAACTGTCATCTTTATTGGCAATAGAAAAACTGTCATCTCTATTGGCAATGGGAATACTGTCATCCCTATTGGGAATGGGAAAACTGTCATCTCTATTGGGAATGGGAAAACTGTTATCTCTATTGGGAATGGGAAAACTGTCATCTCTATGGGCAATGGGAAAACTGTCATCTCTATTGGCAATGGGAAACCGTCATCTCTATTGGCAATGGGAAAACTGTCATCTCTATTGGCAATGGGAAATCTGTCATCTCCATTGGGAATGGGAAAACTGTCATCTCTATTGGCAATGGGAAAACTGTCATCTCTATGGGCAATGGGAAAACTGTCATCTCTATTGGCAATGGGAAAACTGTCATCGCTATTGGCAATGGGAAAACTGTCATCTCTATGGGCAATGGGAAAACTGTCATCTCTATTGGCAATGGGAAAACTGTCATCGCTATTGGCAATGGGAAAACTGTCATCTCTATTGGCAATGGGAAAACTGTCATCTCTATTGGCAATGGGAAAACTGTCATCTCTATTGGCAATGGGAAAACTGTAATCTCTATTGGCAATGGGAAAACTGTCATCCCTATTGGCAATGGAAAAACTGTCATCTCTATTGGCAATGGGAAAACTGTCATCTCTATGGGCAATGGGAAAACTGTCATCTCTATTGGCAATGGGAAAACTGTCATCCCTATTGGCAATGGAAAAACTGTCATCTCTATTGGCGATGGGAAAACTGTCATCTCTATTGGCAATGGGAAAACTGTCATCTCTATTGGCAATGGGAAAACTGTCATCTCTATTGGCAATGGGAAAACCGTCATCTCTATTGGCAATGGAAAAACTGTCATCCCTATTGGGAATGGGAAAACTGTCATCTCTATTGGCAATGGGAAAACTGTCCTCTCTATTGGGAATGGGAAAACTGTCATCTCTATTGGCAATGGGAAAACTGTCATCTCTATTGGGAATGGGAAAACTGTCATCTCTATTGGCAATGGGAAAACTGTCATCTCTATTGGCAATGGGAAAACTGTCATCTCTATTGGGAATGGGAAAACTGTCATCTCTATTGGCAATGGGAAAACTGTCATCTCTATTGGCAATGGGAAAACTGTCATCTCTATTGGCAATGGAAAATAGATATCTATTGGCAATGGGAAAACTGCCATCTCTATTGGCAATGGGAAAACTGTCACCTATATTGGGAATGGGAAAACTGTCATCGTTATTGGCAATGAGCGTAGTTTTTCACACAGTTCCTTAGAAAGTTTTAAGACCGACTCTGTTTTGTTGTTCTCCCGTGTGCCCTCGTGACACAACAACTATCGGGCAAGCAATGCGTGGAAGCGCTCGAGACGGCGTGCAGACAAGCCGACGTGCCACTGGCGATTTCTTTTGGTCGCATACATTTTTGCTGTGTTGTTATTTTAGCAATAAAAAAACAACACGCGGCGATGTTGCTTAAAATGTAACGCGTTCACTAGATGATTAATTGGCAGTGTTTGGCGTTTCGGTCCAGGAACACGGTTTGGCTGCCACCTACAAGGCGATTTGTGTGTCTGCGTGTTGGGAAGTGGGCCTCACAGCATGTGTGCCAAGCGTGGGTTCACGTTAACCCCGCATTCAGACCCTTCTGCTCAAGCCATGTGTCGAAAGTTTATAAACTTTTCTCTTTTATGAAGCCATATATTTAATCTGCGATGTTGCAGCAGGGGACAGTTTTAGCGTCGGGTTAACATGTGGTTTACACTTTATTCTGTTAAATTAACTTTTTTTTGTTAAGTTGCAATTGAAAGATAGCCACGAGCCACTCATAAACGGCGTATAGTTTTTTTTCCCCTGCGTACGAGTTCCATTCTTCAAGGGTCCCTTCTCACGCCGCACCGTTCACGTTCGGGAGAAGACGCGGAATCGTAATGCACAATCCATAAATAACCCCACGGCCACGGGCCACAAGGGACCGCGGCCAGCTCACGCGACGAATCCCCAACTCCGAAAATAAGCGCACGCGCGCGCACACACACTCGCACGTGCCGCGGCGTTCCCACTTGTTAAATCGACGCGCGCTATTTCCAAGTGCCACTGTCAAGGGGTCTCCATGGAAAGACGAAAATATTTTCGGGACATAGTGCCACTTTCGCCGTGGCTTTTCGCATTACTGTGGGTCAGAGGTCGCACGGATGAAGGCTGCGCATGAGCCAGCCACCCCACCCTGACGCTATTTTAGTTGCAGAATCAAAGAGTGTCCGTCCTTTGGAGAGAGAGAGAGAGAAGCCGGCAGAGTGTTGCTCATCCCAAGAGAGGGCTCTCTCTCTCTCTCTTTCTGCAGTGCCACGTCCAAATTAACAACCTGCAATAAACACGGGCAAAGCCAATTAGTTGTAAGCAAGATATACGGTACTCGACTTTATATAGCAGTGTGGGGGAAGCCGAGTTAGTAAACACATTAATAAAACGTTACTTTAAAAACGGGGAAATAAATGCACGTAAAGATGATCGTGAAAAATACTAAATGACGCTTTCTGTGATACTCTGCTGGAAGTGGAGCAGAAGTACTCATTAAACGTTCAACACATTCGTCAATAATTTCAAATCTGTAAAATGCTGGGAAACCCTATCACAACAGAGAAACTACTGCAGGCCTTAAACAAATAAATAGAACACCACAGAGACGTGCATTGTGTGTACAGAAGTTGGACAAGGTTGAACGCTTTTGGATATGCAAGCCACTGCCCGAAAATAAAAAAATATATATATACATGATAGATGACGTTTCGGGCAATGGCCCTTTAGTATAAATATTCTGATTCGCTGCAGAAATCATAGCAGGATCACCGTGCGTTTAAGAAGGGACATTGCCCAACATGTCGCCAGTTTATTTTTTCCCTTTTAGGGCTGTGGAAAATACACTCTGGCTTTCTCAATTCAAAAGGAAGTGCCAGTTACATTTAATTTATTTTACAAACTTATGGAAAAAGTCAATTATCACTCACTCCAAACCAAAAAACAGCAAACTGGGTTACGATAACAACTATAAAAACCCCAAACACACCCAAAACCTACTGCGGATATTAAAAATAGTCGCCGCAGATTTTTTTGTTTGTTCGAGAAACGGTTTGGCCGCAGTGGAAGGAGACCGCCTGGATGGCCCCCCTCCACCCCCCCCTGGGTGAGACCGGAACGCGGAGTTTGCGTCACGTCCCAGTCTCCCCAGGGGTGACGATCGACGTCACGTCGCGGGCTACGACTCCCTCGCCCTCTCTCCCCGTCCGTCCGTCCGCCCGCCAGGCCCAGCTGCTGCCCCTCCGCCCCCAAACGCCACGCTGACGATTCGGCGCAGGGGCGGCGTCACGGCACCCGACTGCTCGTCAAAACAGGAGGACAAGCGCTTCACATTTTCCTTTGCCTCACACAGCTAATCCTGGAGACAAGTGTTTCTCACGTTTGTTTACACCCCCAAGGCTGTTGTAATGACTCTGGCGTTATGAGCAATTGAAGAATGCGTGGCCATTTAAGAAACCGGCAACGATCAGGAAATTGTACATTTCATGTACGAGGTAGACAAATTGAGGTTTCTAGATCTCCAATGTGTGTAACGTATCGCCCTTCACGTGCTGTGAGATCCTGAAGGAGCTGCCGTTGGATAATCGTGCTGAACAAATGTGCGGTACATCAGGAGACCACATCGGAGAGCTATACGCAGCACAATCATGGAAAGCTATGAAGGCATATTGCTCATCTATCTCTACGGGGAGTAAACGTACGATATGTATATGGGTATGTTGAACGTCTTTCGCACCTTAAGTAGCCAACCGTATTAATCGGAGGTGCGGGGGAAGGACAAGAAACTAAACACGAAAAGCAGTTCTAAAGAAATGAGTTTCCAATCTAGATGATTTATAAGTGCATCATAGCTCCAGTGGCTTCCTAATGTCAGATGGAAGAGCGTTCCAGACGGCCGCAGAAGCGCATCTAAAAAGTTCGCGATGCGGTGACCACGGGTCTTTGTTCGACGGGGAGCCAAAAGTTGGTGCGAGGATGACCGGTCTTTGCGTGATGGTGAACGCTTCTCGACGAGATTGGCAAGGTGTTGTGGTTCATTCGTGGCAAGCACTTTGTGTGTAATGAGTGCGACCTTGTAATGTATTCGTTCGGTTTTCGGAAGGCAATGCAGCTCTGCGAGGACTGCACGGACACGGTCGGAAACCTTGCAGTATCCGTCATGACACGTGCCAAATAATTTTGTGCACGCTGCAGCTTGGTAATGTCTACGCAGCAATCGTATTGCTCATCTCTATGGGGAGGAAACTTATGACGTGCGATTCGTGTTTCACAAAAAGCGAATGAGAAAATTAGAAAAATGCGAAGGCGGGTGGGCAATTGAACAGCGATCTTGGTTAAGGCTTGCATCGCAACTAAATAATTGAGGTTAAAATGTGATGCGTACAAATATATAAATTTGGTCAGAAATAGTAATTGTGTGGTCACAGTTTAATATGCTTAAGTGGATGCTTCCATTAACATAAAATACAAAAACTGTTTATTTTCTACTTTAGGGACAGTAAAGGACTTTTAAAAAAATGCCTCGTGGGGAAAACAAATTCAAGTCGACATGCAAATTACAATTCCTGTCTCAACACACGTAAACAACGTTAAACATTTGCAAGTCTCATAAGGAATAGGGAACTGTTTATATACCACCATTGGTGTTCACAACATTCTGGAAAGATGCAAGTCACAAAAGATGAGCTCAAAAGTTGAGTTAACAGCAGACAAAAAAAAACATCTTTGTCACCCACAAAAAATTGTAAACATTTTACATTTTCACGGTGTGCATTATACTTGTAAGAACAAAAAACGAGGTCATTTTCAGAGCAGAGGGAAAAAGAGGCCAAGTGGAGCCAGAGGTCAGGGCGTACAAAGCAACAGGGCTCGTACAGAAGCAGACGAAATGCCACCCATGACCTATTAAGTCCAGCCCTACCTCCAGAATCACAATTTTTTTTTACAGAATTATACCCAACGATCTGACCATTTTGTGATTTATTTTCAAATGGATGCACCCCGCCTTGCTGGGACTTCCGGGAGACAAACCAAGGCCACGGTAATTAACCCTCGCCACTCGGGGAATTAGCGAGCGCCTCCGACATCCTCCCAGCCAATCCCAGACTCTACGCTGATCGTTCCGATAAGAGAGGAACCGCACATCAAGGGCTTGGCAAGGGCACCCCAGGATCTCCTCCTCAGCTCCCCAATGGCTGCACATTTCATTTGTATATTTACATTTTGCCCAATTATATTAAGCGTGTGCTGTAGGCATCTAAGCACATGGAAATTAGTTTTTTTTACTTTTGGAATCGGGGCTTAATTTCAACCGGGGCAGAGCTCCAGAAAATATTTCCAGGGTCTAAGGGATGGGGGGATGGGGGGGCTGCGGGGATGGGGTTGGGAAAGGGAGGGGTGGAGTGGCTTGAGAACCTGGAAATATTCCGAGAGAATTTAATCCCTGTTTAGAACGCCCCAACAGAACAACACTTGCGTGACGTCACAGGCAAAATCTTGATTTATCAAGCTTCTATGATTCATGTGATACAATCACGAGAACTGTGCTCTCTTTACCTGGGATATATGATGAATCCTAAAAGCTGAGCTGAACCAATGCAAGTGCAAAATACAAACGCTTATGCTTTTACCATATTTGCATGCAGTCCACTGGCTATTTCATTTCAGAGCATTAAACTTTCTCTAGTTTTATCTCGAGCGAGTGCACAGGACTTAAACCCAAAATCTCAGCAGTCTGTGACACAGGCACCCGTAATGCCACGGGTTAATTATCCCCATGAATGGGCAAGGTCGTGGCATTTTTCCAGGCGAGGTGCAGCGATTCCGTCACAATGTTTGAAGTGGTCATCGAGAGCGATGCGTCATCACGTGGCTGTGCTCTGCCAGAGACGACTGCTCGGGACAAGACGCTACACTTAAAGACAAATTCCTCCCGAATTTCAACATGAGGATATTTAATACAACGGCCACTCTTAATATGCCGACATCTACGATTAGGCGAATACAACAATCTACTTTGCAGGTCTGAGCTGAAAATTCTCACGTAACCACACACGACTACTCCATATTTGTTACAAGGCCTACGTTAGCATCCTGCATACACTCGCAAAGCGTGCATGGTGCTGTCTGTCCTGTAGCTAATGCAAGGGGTGTTTCCAATAAACCACGAAGAAATGAAATCCTGGCTTCATGAGTGAGAATTAGAAGCAGACTCATGATAGCCGACTCAAGGTCGCATCATCATACTCCTCGCAGTCCACCAGTCACGCAATCGATATCTCCCTGCTTTTGTGTCACTGCTGCATGGGAGTCCAACAACACACTTCCAGAAGCAAATGCGTCACGTCCCGAGACCGTATCGAGTCTGGTCACACACTAGTGCCACGGTGTGCCTTACCTATACCCCCCCCCCAACCGCTCATCACTCCTGGGCATGTGCTCAGAGTAAACTAGGTGCGTGTTTTACAAACCAATGATAATATTAGTGTCGTGTGGTAGGACAGCATTTCACGTGGAAGTGTGTCGCAGCAAAGGTCTGCCTCGTTCTTAATGGACGGGGAACGTTTGTTTCTGCCTATGAGCATGCCGACCTTCGAGCGATAGGCTGTCAACACGGTGAACACAACCCACCCGTTCTCTATGATGGCGCGTGCGTGTCGCAAACAGAGTCTGCAATCCGCTGTGAATAGCACTCACTCACCTCGCTACATATCATACGACGGGTGATCTCAAAAGCAGGGCAGCGGGATTCGCTTAAATGCTGCACAAATCACCGAGGGATAAATGGTGCGCAGTTACCGGAGACTTTAACAGCACGCAGCCACGCACTTAACAGCACGCAATACATTATGGAGTAACAGCACGGTACGCGGGAGACCGCGAGTGGTGGGGAAAGAAAAAGTGGAACGAGCGCCCTACATCTTTCCTCTTTCCCAATTTGTGCATTTTTGGAAGATTGTCACCGATTAAGAGAGAAGAACAGCCCCGTGGCAGCGTGGCCCTGCAAGACGAAACAATGCGAACCCACTAAACACAGACCCACATTTCACTCAGTGCGACCTCCGTTCACTGTCACTATACACTTCACGTTCACAAAAAAAAGATGTAAAAGTAACTACCCTTCCTTGTGTTGCAAAAAAAAAAAAAAATCTCAAGCCAATGCACACACGTACAGCGGGTTTGTCCATCCACTGCTGGATGAGGGGCTCTCCACGGCCGTGCGGGTCGTGAAGGTTATTTGGGCCAAACTTCACCACGCTGCCTGGTGTTGGTTGGGGAGGCCCGGTGGAGCATAGAAATGCAACACTGGATTCCACTGCACTGCCCTCTGCTGGCCAAGACGCAGCCCGGAGCCCGGCGAGCTGCTGTTCACACTCGGCGGTTGCCCGTTCGTGCGTACGTACGTGCGATTAACTTATTTTGCACCGTGAGTAGCTCAACCACGCTAATCGGAGGTGCAAGCACGATCCAGGCTCGAATTGCTACCTGGCTTCCGAGATCTGTTGGGATGCGGTGCATTCTGGGCGATCCAGTCATAGGTCCCACCCTCAAATCCATAAACGTCGAATTGGCTTTAATGCCACGATGACTGCACCTCGTTCCTCGAAGCCAGAAATCCCATTGTTGCATGGGGTCGGCTCGTGCTGCCCTTACGTAACAAGAAACAAAAATACAACGCGGCGTTACCGATCCCCGTGAAGTGGCGCGTACGACAGTGAATGGAGAACGAGGGGGGGGGGGGGGGGCGGGCGGGCGGGCGGGCGCGTCCGCACGAACGACTGCCATGCACGCGCGTGCCGAGCGAGCACGAGGCCGGACGTAGCGGCTCCGCGGGGGGATTCTGGCGTCTCCGCCGTCAGAGCAGCTCCCCGCGGAACGGCAGCGACGAGGGCGGCGGCTGCAGCCAGCGGTGACGCAGTCTGCACAGGGGCGTCAGCTCGGGGTCCTCGAACTCCGGGAAGCCCAGGCGGTCGAGCACATCGTACACGCCCGCACGGCCCGCCACCTGCGTTGCATGGGGAGGACGGGGGGGGGGGGGGGGGGGGAGAGGTTCGTCACGACGTTACCGGGAGCGGTTGCAGAATCAGTGAAGGTCACGCACGGACGTGAAACCGACGAGTTGTGGAAAAATAATGCCGGCGTTCGAGATGAGCCGACCGAGAAGGTGATGGCGAGTTCTCCACGCAATGGCGCCGAGGTGGGGCAGCATAAACCAATGTTTGCTGCGGTGAAGAGGAAACAGCGATGGTTCGGACACCGTGACATGAGAAGGGGGACTGTCTCTCTCTCTCCCCCTCTCTATCCCACAACAACATCATCTTACAAGGCACTGTTAGAAACAGAAGAGGAGGATGATGCAAGATCAACTGAATGACAGATGTGATAACAAAGATTGATAGGCCCGGGCACAACAGCTGACAGAGACTCTATCACAGCTGTTGGCAAGAGTTGAGAGTTGACAGACGAGACATCAGTGGCGCCCGCATGACCGTTGCTGTTAAGGGAGAGATGAGCTCAACAAATTAGGAAAAACCATGCGCTCTGCATTGATTATGAAAGAGATCCAACATGTGTTTGTCTTGGGAGCGACACATTTATCAGTATGGCAGCTGATGGATAGCTGTCAGGGCTAAAAAGATTTCATATTTGCAAATAGTCAATTTTGCTTTGGATTGTGTCTCCCAAGTTTTGGGCGATAAGCCTTAAATTAACGTGGTTGGTTTTCAATAAGATAAGGCCCTAATAGTAACGTAACTTTATGCTTCAGAAGGGCTCATATTGGATCGTGTTTAAGAGAATTATCGTGTGTCACCCCCGCCCAGCGATGGACGGCCGACCAGACGGACGGAGTGAGTGCACAAGTACTTTCAACCGTTGTTGGAAAGGGTTTCTCTCAGTGGAGCTACATTGATGTCTAATTAGCCTCTTGTGGGAGGCAACGATTGAAATTAATCGCGCAAATTTAGATTTGTTAAATTCCATTCACGGTAATTTATATAATTCAAATAAACGTTTAAATCCGGAGTGTTAATAGACAAATGTGTTTTATGCAGCCGACACACTAGGCGCACTATTGCATGGGTCCATTCAAAAGGGAAAAAAATACAAAATAAGAAAAAGCCAGGCCTTGCTTCCCTCTAGGAGAAAAAAAAACACGGGAAAAACCATGCCAAGTGGTAGAACTGGCATGTTTTTGGAGCCTCCTCTCCCCGCTTTGGCACATCCCACTGGAACATTCCACCCTTCTCAGGCTCCGCCTCCTGGCGATCAGTCGCCACATGTGCCGAAGAGAGGAGCGTTTTGGTGCCTCTTGGCAGACATTCCCAGCCACGACAAAAGAAATTCCACGTTATAAGGGGCGGCCCCACAAATGCGCCGACGCATTGTCACTGAGCAGTGACCCCAGCGTTTCCCACCAACGGGAGGAGCATTTTGTTACAATAGTGGAGCGCATGTCGAGCATCCAAAGCGGCGATGGCGAATGTGTGAATGCTGGTAAATACTCGGAGACTCACGTTACAGCCAAGCGTGTTTCCTTAACCTTAAAGCACAGCAAAGTAACTCCTTCCAAAACAAGTCAGCTGCTTAAGAGGATTTTCCTTAAAATAAATCAAGTGTTATTGGGCTTTTTTTCACCAAATGTGGCAATGCTGCATAAAGCCCCCTAAGAGCTCGTACCAATGTCAGCAGAGAATCAGTTGAAACCGTGAGCGCTGTTCCATTGATAAGTGAGTCTCAAAATGCTTGGTATAAATAAATCCTACCCATTACATAAAGAAAAAAGTTATAATCATGGTTCACACAGAAGGCAACTGGAGCGTTTATAAATAGTTTTAATGCAATTATGCTACACATTGTAGGATGTCTGTTAAAAATAGTAACAAAGTAAAGATTTTTTTTGCGTAACTTTTTTTTCTTCCGAAAACAAATTAAGTCATTCATGCACAAATATTTCCTACCACACATGTGTTTGCACAATGTTCCAATCCCCCTTGACAATAATAAATAAAATAACATGCTGTTTGAATGTAACAATGTGCTATTCTTATTGGTTGACCATCTCATGCAAAACGTTGTTGAGGGACAATATTTACGGTTTCAGTACTTTTAACAATTCCACGTGGCCACCAAGTTTATTTGGTGAAAATTAGAAACTGTAAATTGTTGTCCGAATGATTCTATTCCCTTGCTCTTGCCAAGGCAGAAGCAAGGCATTGCATCACCAGAATATTGACAGACGTTTTAATGCATCTGCAGCATACATTTTTTATATCACCAAAACCTCCAAAACACTGCAAAACAAGCCTGACTGAAAAGTAAAACAATTAACATGATCCAAAATGTTTAACATACCACGTAAAATGAACGCATCAACAACAAGGAAAAGCCAATTTTAATCCTGCCCATTGGGGAGCGTAAAATAATGAAACACATTGGGGCTCATTTTATAATATAATTACTTTGCCATCTGGCCATTTCTAAGGAAAGTGTGTGATGTAATACAAGCGAACGTAATGACGACAACATCACACATTCACAGGTGTGGTGCGTCTCATGGATTTGAAGTGAGAATTTGTAGGATTTATAATTGCGTTTGGAGAGAGGGCCAATAAGCCAACCACATGGAAACTAAACGTACAAATTAGCTTCCCAAAGACCAACACCAATGAGGCTGTAAGGACAGATTGTTCAAAACATGTGGCAGTTCCACTGAGCCTGCGCAAGCCGACTATGGATAAAGTCTAACCCACAGTGGAACAAAAATATGGGCCGTCTTATGTATGCTGATATACAGTGAGGGAAAGAAGTATTTGATCCCCTGTTGATTTTGTACGTTTGCCCACTGACAAAGAAATGATCAGTCTATAATTTTAATGGTAGGTTTATTTGAACAGTGAGAGACAGAATAACAACAAAAAAAATCCAGAAAAACGCATGTCAAAAATGTTAGAAATTGATTTGCATTTTAATGAGGGAAATAAGTACTTGACCCCTCTGCAAAACATGACTTAGTATTTGGTGGCAAAACCCTTGTTGGCAATCACAGAGGTCAGATGTTTCTTGTAGTTGGCCACCAGGTTTGCACACATCTCAGGAGGGATTTTGTCCCACTCCTCTTTGCAGATCTTCTCCAAGTCATTAAGGTTTCGAGGCTGACGTTTGGCAACTCGAACCTTCAACTCCCTCCACAGATTTTCTATGGGATTAAGGTCTGGAGACTGGCTAGGCTACTCCAGGACCTTAATGTGCTTCTTCTTGAGCCACTCCTTTGTTGCCTTGGCCGTGTGTTTTGGGTCATTGTCATGCTGGAATACCCATCCACGACCCATTTTCAATGCCCTGGCTGAGGGAAGGATGTTCTCACCCAATATTTTACGGTACATGGCCCCGTCCATCGTCCCTTTGATGCGGTGAAGTTGTCCTGTCCCCTTAGCAGAAAAACACCCCCAAAGCATAATGTTTCCACCTCCATGTTTGACGGTGGGGATGGTGTTCTTGGGGTCATAGGCAGCATTCCTTCTCCTCCAAACACGGCGAGTTGAGTTGATGCCAAAGAGCTCCATTTTGGTCTCATCTGACCACAACACTTTCACCCAGTTGTCCTCTGAATCATTCAGATGTTCATTGGCAAACTTCAGACGGGCATGTATATGTGCTATCTTGAGCAGGGGGACCTTGCGGGCGCTGCAGGATTTCAGTCCTTCACGGCGTAGTGTGTTACCAATTGTTTTCTTGGTGAATATGGTCCCCTCAGCTGCCTTGAGATCATTGACAAGATCCTCCCGTGTAGTTCTGGGCTGATTCTTCACCGTTCTCATGATCATTGCAACTCTACGAGGTGAGATCTTGCATGGAGCCCCAGGCCGAGGGAGATTAACAGTTATTTTGTGTTTCTTCCATTTGCGAATAATCGCACCAACTGTTATCACCTTCTCACCAAGCTGCTTGGCAATGGTCTTGTAGCCCATTCCAACCTTGTGTAGGTCTACAATCTTGTCCCTGACATCCTTGGAGAGCTCTTTGGTCTTGGCCATGGTGGAGAGTTTGGAATCTGATTGATTGCTTCTGTGGACACGTGTCTTTTATACAGGTAACAAGCTGAGATTAGGAGCACTCCCTTTAAGAGTGTGCTCTTAATCTCAGCTCGTTACCTGCATAAAAGACACCTGGGAGCCAGAAATCTTTCTGATTGAGAGGGGGTCAAATACTTATTTCCCTTATTAAAATGCAAATCAATTTATAACATTTTTGACATGCGTTTTTCTGGATTTTTTTGTTGTTATTCTGTCTCTCATTGTTCAAATAAACCTACCATTAAAATTATAGACTGATCATTTCTTTGTCAGTGGGCAAACGTACAAAATCAGCAAGGGATCAAATACTTTTTCCCCTCACTGTACTACTTAGTATTAGGGGCGTCATTGACACCTCGGGAAACCCAATGCCGCCCCCCCCTTAACAATCTCATTTTGTCTAAACCCAAGTTTTTGAGGAAAAACGTCGATACCCATGGTTTAATTATACAAGACAGAATTTAGAAGTGAGTGAGTCATCAGTAGGGAGTGTATGTTCAACTTCTTTCGCACTGTGCGTAGCCAAACGTGCTAATAATCAACACCGCCTTCTGCCACTGGCCCTGCCATAAGCATGTGGACTGTCTATCACTTGCTTACAACTGTGAATAGAGATGTGTGCTACCAAAAACTCAACAAAGCTTTCGGACACTTTGACTTGATTTTTTACGACATTAACACCACAAAGAACTGAAATTAAAACAGCAGTATCAAAAATTTAATATCACAGAAAAAAAATCCACACCGTACCCGTTGAAGACTGAATCGTGATTTTATGGACACCTGAATCACAAACCTACAGGTTGCCTAGAGAAGGCCATAACTACAAGGATGTGCACCTGCTCAGAAATCCTGAGGTAGAGCAAGAAGGCGACGGGTATACGAAGCAAGCGAACGGGCGGAGATGCAGATTCACGACGCGGCAAGACTATCGGAGGACAGCGAGATCCAGAGGGAGGTTCTACGCACGGCCAACCCCCTGGAAAAGGGTCAGCACAACACAACCGGTGCCTCTAACGTCTGCTCACGCACTACGATTGCTTAGCTCATCCCCTAGATCAGTGCGATGCAGAAAACCCCACATTTGTGATGCACAATAAGAAAACAAGGGGCACACACGAGTGCAGTGGTTACCTCCACCATCCACTGGCTGAAGGGCCTCTCCCAGGACTGGGGCTTCTCCAGGTGCAGGTAGGCGTTGAAGAGGATGAGGAAGATGTACCTCTCCAGGTACTGCAGGCTGCGCACGCGTAACACGTTGTTCTCTTCAGCGCACTTCCCCACCTTCATCTGCGCACGCACGTGGATGGGGAAGCTGAGGCTTAACCATGTATTTTTTTTTTTTAACTTTACACACACAGTTGATAAAAGCACAGGCCCCGAAGGCCCAAAATGTCAAGCGGCCAGCACCACAGATGGCACTGGCAAAGTTCCTGTAGATTATTAATTGGTAGATTTCTCGCACTGAGTGAGGATATGAGAACTTTGGAAAAGAGACGATGGGAAGGGATTACAAAGTCGAGCAGAGAAAGAAGCAGAAAGTGAAGCGTGTATAAGACGAGCAGCGTGGTGGCTAAACGCAGAATTTCTCTGAGACTAAAGAGTAAACCTGATAGGCCGAATCCTCAATATAGGGTGGAGAATTCAATGAATGAAGTTCATGGGAATAGTACCCATGTTAATAGTGATATTAGGGTGATTAGGAGGCAAATGGCTGCTGTCGAGACTGGAGGAATTAAATATGGAATAAATAAACCGATTATACTGTGAGTGGACTAAAGCTATTTATAGTTCTACTGATCATTACAACTACAGTGCTACCACTGCTCATAACAGTGCCGTGGTACTAATGGTGCCAATTATTGCAAATTAATGATCATAATGGACAATTAACCATTTCCCGCTCTGAGATATCTACAAGTTGCAGGGTGGGTCCCGTTCACCGCTGAATCTCAGAATGTGCAAGAGGTTAGCGTTAATTCCTTCAGAGAGGAGTAGCGCTGCTGTTTCTAAAGACATTCTACTGTACTCTATGATAGCTGGCGCCAAACTGTGTCACACGCCCCCCCCCCCCCCCGCATGGCCTTTTGCTTCCTATTCCGTTCGGAATCGATTCCATTCTGATGACGTACCTCACCGGAATGTACGTCATCAGAACGGGAAAAAGTTAAGTAGGCAGCAGGAGGGTTTATGAGCGAGAATGCATACGAGGAACGCATGTATTAGAGAACATATGCAAAAGTGACTGACGCCATATTGACTACAAAGAAAAGTAAGCTGGCTTGGGCAGGACACACGTCATGAGAAGGGACCGATGACCGGGTGGTTGAGACCAACGATGGGGTGACAGCCAAAGGAGAGAACACGCACAATGCGACCACCACTGCAGAGATGGAATGACGAGGTCAGCTCCTGTGCAGGAGATAGTTGGATCGCTGCTTTGCAAGACTGTGAGAGATGGTGATGACTCGGTGAAGCCTTCATCCAGCAGTGGATACATCATGGCTGATGACGACTGGCTGAGCAGTCCAGTGGGTCAGAACCAGACTGTACTCAGTTTACGTCTGGATTCCTAACCCCATGCAGTAATGGAACTGTGCATTTCCAAAGTACACGGACAAACAGGCTGGAAAAATCTGTTGGTATGTCACTCACAGAGTGGACACTGTGTGACGGTGTTACAGCTCAACTTTCAATCGGCTCTCCGATGTCCTATCGGGGTGTGCCGTGTGCTGTTCGGCATGTCCAATACGCCGCTCCACGTGCTGGGAGCTTCTTCAGGAATTGATGAAGCTCCCAGATCCAGAATGTTCCTGAAGAAGCTCCCAGCAAATATTTAGCATAACGACGGACATCAATATGAACTCCACTCAGTTCCAATCCGAAAACCCAACAGAGCTGCTCAGCACAATCGCGACAACCTACGCAGTTAAATTTCAACTCTGCAAATCATGCGCAACTCAGGTATAAACTAGCAGGAAAGTACAGCGGAAGAGTCATTTTACGGATATTCGGTCATTATCATAAGCGAATGAGCCAAACTCGACAAAGTACTCAGCAGAGTAACTTCAGCACCGCCGCGGGCTTTGACAACATCTCGCCAGAATTTCTTGAATTATCTTGGCCCACGTGTGCCCACTTGTGGTTGGTTCAATACTCGGGTCACCAGGGAAGGGAAGCTGCCAAAGATCTGGCAAGCGTTGAAAGTCATCGCCCTTCCAAAACACGAGGCTGCAAGCTACGGCCGACATCGCCGCTCTCCAAGCGCTTCAAAGACTTGGAACATCTGAACCTTCAACATATGTCGACACAAGTGGGAAACATCCTGAGTGCGTCCATTGAGAATGGTTTTTCAAAGAAACGTGAAGACAAGGGGCAGTGTTGCTGGACCTGACGGCAGCCGATGACACAGTCTGGTACAGCAGCCGTCTAGTTAAGATGTCAGGAGGTTCAAAGATGGTACAATTGCTTCGAGGAGGCAAATTAATGGCCTGCCCAAGGGCTCTGTGCTCACGCCAACCATGTTTAGCCTCTACACCAACGACGTCCCGACCCACACAGTCACGAAGATGCATGTACGCAGACGATATATGCTCTGGAGCTCAGGCCTGGATTTGTACAAATCTGAAGAAAACGCTCAACGATGATTTCAACAGGCTGGAGGACGACTGCAAGATGCGGCAACTTCAGCTGAGTGTCACCAAGACGGCGTCGAGCGTGCTCCACCTTCACAACGCCCGTGTGCTGCCCAAGGACTGAACATTTGCCTCAATGGGCCGAGGCGCAGACAAAACCTGCACCCAGTTTATCTCACTCGAAGTGACCAGGGACTGGACGCTGACTTACCACGCTCACACCTCAGGAATACGGTCGCGATAGCCAAGACTCAGTGACTTGCCTGGCAAGTTCACCGGCTCATCGTGGGGGCTGGTGCCCCAACTCCAGGGACATCAGTACTCGCCGGCAGGATACCGCGCACCTGTCTGGGGTCAGCTGTCGAACACCGGGTCTGTTGACGACGCGCGGCTACATTCGGCAATGCGCATCATCTCAGGGAGCTCTTTGACCAACTCCCTGGCTTTGAGTGTCCGTCGCAGTCTCCTGACTGCAACCGGCAAGCGACTGGACAAGATACACACCAAGCAAGCCAAGTCTGCTGCCGCACGCCAATCTCTTTAGGACACCTTCTGCTCGTCTGTCGTCACGGCACCCATTGTGGACCAACGCGCCACACTAGGACGTGTCAGCTGAGTCATCGTGGCGAAGGGAAGGGGACGCTCTCTGCGTCAGCAAGGAACCGATTCCTTGTGGACGAGCCTACGATCCATCCACTTGGGTGCGATCTTCGGCTTGTGACCGGGCCCTACTCAAACAGGTTCTGAAACGGTCAAGGCCCCCGTGTGTGCGCAGTTGGGGCCTTATGCAACAACCCGAACTGTAGCTGTGGTGCAAGTTGGATAAAAACGCGAACCTAATAAAGCTTCTGCCTGGCTCAACGCAAAAAAAACGCACGCACTAAAATAAAGAATTTAGCGAGAAAAAAAGAGAGACGCTGCGTCTCACCGCGTTCTACGGGGCATGCGGCTTAGGCCGTCACGGGGATGCCCATACCTGGCGGTGCGTGCAGATGATGGCTTCGCGCAGGTGGTAGTGCATGGGGGTCATGGTCTCGCTCACAGAGTCCAGCGCCAGGTCCACTTGGCGCTTGCGAGACTGCCCCTGGGGCAGCAGCCGCACCACTGCCTGCACCACCTGTGTAGGCACGCGAGTCCATCGCCACACTCCTTGTAATTTAACTTCGTCAAAACAACGTGGCAAACTTTGACACTTTTCAAAGAGGGAGGGCATCGGAAAAATACAACATGATGAAAGATGATTATTATTTTCATTCGAAAAAGGTAAAGGTGTAGCCCTGCAATTATCTAACTCACGCCACTGCTGGTGGAATGGCCTCCACTGGAGGGAGATCCTCCAGTGGGTATTTTAGCCGACTCTATCACACTATTAAACTCAAGTCTTTTTCAACAAAACTATGTTTATCTTACCAGGTAAGGCCCACTGAGCTGTGTTGCTATTATTCAGAAGCGACCTGGCTACATATGATTGCTCAACTAAGTGGCTTATCATCGTGTATAACTTTATAGCGGCCAAATACTCTAAGCGCATTTTTTGTTAATGCGGAAGGAAAAACCGGAGGGCCCGGAGAAAAATCCACGTGACCATGGGGGGAACATGCAAACTCCAAATATACAGCAGGCGTCAAGGGTCAGGATCGGACCCACAACCTCCTGCATACCAGGCGAGGTAGTTGACATCTTGCCACCAAGGCGCCAGACATCCTGGAAGAGGTGGGAGTAACTACACTTTACCCCACCACACACAATCTGTCGATTGACTAATTGTGCCACACCTATTTACACTCCTGGGTCCACAGAGGATGTGGAGATTTTCTAGGAACGTGCACCATCGTTTCAACGGCTGCACTGGGATAATGCCTGGAACCGGTGACCTCTGGATTGCAAGTCCAGGGCAGCATCACAAGTAATTAATACATGCAACAAAAATAAAATAAACACATCTAAAAAATACAAATCGTAAAAAGTGCATCCAGGAGAGAAGACAGCTGATTGTAAGAGTGAAATGTCGGTTCAAGGCGATGGCAATCGACCTCCAGCTATTGCTATATTACATGTGAGCACTTGGACTGCGACTGAAATAGTGATAATGCACGAAGGGACTAATTCAAATTGAGGAAAATGTCACGATGCAAGTGAACCAGTGTGCTTGCGAGGAATAAGTATGGGAACCCTTTAGAGCTTCGAATGTAGTCACAATACATTCCTTCACCACTGAAGATGCTGTTCATATGCAGCAGCAAGAGCGCGCAAGTGCGTGCATGTTTACGTGTGCGTATGTGCGCACGTAGTGAGGCAATGGTGGAGTGAGAGACCACGTCATTTCCAGCGCCTATTTTCAACCCAGCGAACAGCGTGTGTTAACTTTTTTTGCGATTCGTTGAAATGCAACAACAAACACCGGCTTGCGGAGCGCACGAACATGACGAGCGTCATCACCGCTCGCATCTCACCTCAAATTCTCCTTTGGTGTACTTGGCGTTCGGCACGCTGACCATCTCGTCCTCGTTCTCCGCAGGAAAGCCCTGTGCATGCGAAACCCATCGGCAGTGCCAGAATGAATCATAACGCCCCAGCGGCCTTCGACCAGAGAACAAATCATCATAAACGATTTGACGGCATGATTAATATATATATTTTTTATCGAATGTGTTTCCTTCTAATAAACGTTCGTGTTTTTAAATTCGTGAAAGTTCGAGAGAGGGGAAAAAAAGAGACCGAGGCATTAGCATTTGGGCTGCAGGGTATTTTCCACATTGACATTAAAAATATTTAAATAAATAACTATGCTCACAATGAAAAACACATGAACAACAATATTTACTCGTTAGTCACGGTAACTTGCTATCCGCGATTTTGGCTATCCGCGAATCGCATCTGGAACTCTACTGCATCGAGAGGGAAACAGGGCGATGAGATAAAGTGATGAAAATGTGATGAGATAAAGCGATGAGACAAACTGATTTGAGATAAAGTGATGAAATAAAGAAATGTGTTATTATGATTATGTCCATGTATTTAATAGCTTGTTTATGTATTTATTTTAGGTATTTCATTAAAAAGGCCAATATGACTATCCGCGAAATTTGCTATTCAAGGGCATCTCTGGAATGTGTCCCTCGTGAATAACGAGGGACTAGTGCAGTACACAAAACTGCATCTAATGCAGAAACGTAGTTGCAATGTTGTAAATCATTCCTTCATGTTCATTTACCAAGACGGTGAAACAAAGAACTATGATTTTGACAATATATGAAGCAGACAATATTGAAAGAAACACACACAACCGAATAAAATAAAACCCACCAATTGCTGAGCCGGACACCTTTTCGCACCTCCAATTAGCACGGTTGGCTACGTATAGTTCAAAAGAAGTTCGACATACATACATACATACCTTCCGGTTGTGAACTGAACATAAGACGGCCACACAGTACAGCACCACTGCCTCTTTGCTACACACACACGGCCGTACGGCAGCTTAAGAGCCATTACCAATCCACTGCTGACTGGGGGCATCCCCATGCTGTGTGGGTAATGGGGGTTATTGGCCTATACTTCACCACGTTGGTCAGTGTGCGTTGAAGGCAGGAGTGGAGATGCGGGGACCGCTACAGTGGATTTTACTTGCGCTGCCCTCTGCTGCCCACAATGTGGTGCCCACAGACAGTAACACCTAACACAAGGGCAGTTGCCCATCCAAAAACTTTGCACGCTCAACACTCCTTCGCTTCAACACTCCTTCGCTTCGTAAGTCTGTTGTGGACTGGGCGCATTTCGGGTGCACGTTCCGAAGGCGAGCGGCAACAGATTCGACAACGTCGCGTGAAACGGAGCGGGGCCGTCGGGACGGGGCGTGGGCTACGCACGTTGATGTGCCACAGCAGGAGGAGGGCCACCACCATGGCCGTGGTCGTCCGGCCCTTCCCGTCGTGGCAGCTGAACACGATCGCCGGGCTCGAGCTCTCCGCCAGGCACCCGCGCACCGCACCCATCAGCCGATCCAGGTCCTGGCCACGCACATGCACGCACGCGTGGGAAGAGGTTCCATAAAAGCCGCTCACTGCACACAATTCCCGCTTCCCCAAGATGTGGTACGAAGGGGAAATTGGGCTGGCATAGCGAGCGTTTCCAACCAAGCCGGACAGAAAAACTCAGCTGCCACCGCCAACCACCGCCACGCTTGCGTTGCTACGCATGCACTGATTTCGCTCGAGTGCTATAGGCCAGCACAACCCACTTCCTTCTCGCTTCCACGCAAACCGAGGACCACGGTGATGAGAGGACTGTTCCACCTGCGACTGCGGGAGCAGAACAAACCACGGGGCGTGCGGTCGACTGCCGCCCACGGCCATTGAATGGCGTGCACCAAAGCGATCGACTGACTCGCAGCCAGCTCCGCCGGATGGCTACAGGAAACCCAACCGCTTCTCCCTGCGACGCGCCGCACGGACGGTGAAGAATTACAACCCACGCGCGGCGGTTGGCTCCACCGCGCCGAGCCCCGTTCGCGTAAGCGCGGGTACGCGAGCGCGCCCGGACGGGCCTCGGCGGCCCCTGACCTGCTCGGTGAGGCAGGCGGAGCTGGCCAGCGGCACGCGGGCGTAGCGCAGCAGCGGGAAGAGCGCCGCCTGCTGGCGCGCCACCTCCGCCTGCCCCAGACAAGTCTTCACCGGCTTCAGCTGCCGCTCCCCGTCCTGCCGCAGCTCCAGCCACTTCTGACAGCCGAGGAGCTCGGTGCTCATCGCAGCCTCCAGCATCTGCGCACGCGACGGGTGGGGAAACCCGGCGGGCGACAGTTTGAGCGGTTATTAAAAGGCACGGGGGGTGGGGGGGGGGCACGGGGGGTGGGGGGTAGGGCGCCCCCCCCCCCCCCCCCCCGAGACAGGAGAGGGGCGGAACTCGGCCGAGTAGAGGTCCTATTGGAAAACGTCGTGAGCTCTTAAGAGCAGCAGGTGGGCCATTCTGACACTTGCAGCACACAATGGGCCAGCGGAGACGGCCTTAAGAAGGGCATCGAGCATCCATTTACCCGCATCTCGGGCCTGTGTTTGTTTTTTGTAACCCCCTGTGTTCGATGGGCAGAAGAGGACACCATAACTTGTGGGGTTCTGTGCTCATAAACAGGTGCGTGCCGACACGGGCGGTTTGGGTAAACAGGCTTGCGCCCCACGTGATTGCATGCCACTCAGTGATTTTGCCTTTGATGAGCTGCACAATGCGCAGCTCTATTGTTCAATAGCAGCCAATCAGAACTGGGCCATGACACCACTGACCTCTATTCTGGGTCTGATTATCTGAGTGTTAGAGGATACTTATGCAGCGATTATGATGCACGTGCGTACACACGTGCATACACAACAGCAACAGCTGTCATTTGTAACCAAGTGGCGGTGACGTCGCCACATCGCTTGTGCCAGATTCGGTGCAATTTGAGACCACGTGAAGTGTCGAAGACTCACTGACAGCAGGTGACGGGACAGACCCAGGTGTCGTCGGTTGACTGAGATGACTGGCAGATGTACCATCTGTGCCCCCTACTGTGCCAACTCGCTGCATTTTAGCCGCCCGGCGCTCCACTTGTTGTTGCGAGCGTCGCTCCTCTGCCCTTCGTTGTTGTTGCCTCCCACTGCCCAGGAGCATTTTTCATGAGACTCCTCCATAGAGGCCGATCTTGACACTGCTGGTACCCGTCATTGGTAAATCCACTCGGCTCCATATCCTCCTGTACCACATCAATCCATTATTTCTCTTTTCTATGCCATGGCCGTTTAGAGCAACCTATCTGACCAAAGACAATCTGCTTTGGCATGCGGTGGCTGGACATGCAGGCTATATGGCTCAGCCAACGGCAGCCTCACCTGCCGAAGCTCACCGATGGGAATGTGTCCAGATCATTAAATAATCTGAGCTCCTCACACAATCCAGTCTCGTTAAACCCAAGATGGATCATAGGCAGGCCAGCCTGCATTTTTCAAACCGGCACAGATGTTCCTTCAGAGGGATCCAAGTTTTGCAAACATAGAGAAGCGAGGGTATAAATGTGACCGAGAAGACCCGGAGCTTTGTATGGAGCGACAGGTCAGATAGTTTCCACACAGCATTACGTAGCTGATAAGGTAATGCTGGATGACTGATTCCAAGCGACACCTCTGCTGCCAAACTGGTACTAGTCATAAGCACACAAACCAGGCATGGGAACTTCCCCACTCTCTCCACAACTGCCCCGTTACTAATGGGAGTTGAGGGGGTGGAGTGTTTTATGACACAAATACATGTGTATATGTGCATACACGCAAATACCAAGATCCTTCGTATAGCCTTAACAGACTGTTGGGGCAAGTGTTGATAGCGAGCACCTATGAAGGCTGGCACGGCACACGAGGTGGCCATCATACACACCTGAGTAGACCTAGGGGAGGCCCAGGACCGGTTCAGATAATTGTCACTGGTGTTGGCCATAAGCGGGAACCGAAATCGTGTCCCCGGGTTGGTAGTGCAATGTGCTAACCACTACACTACCGCATACATGCACACGTGCGCGCACACACGCCCGTATTCTCCGTTTAATTCATGATTCGTCCATGCGGCATTCACCTCCAGCTGCTGAGGGGAGGTGGTGGGAACGCCGATGCGCTGGTCGGGCGTGGTGCTCTCGCGGGGCGTGCACATGGCCCCGTTTACCTCCAGCACCACCTCGTCGCGCAGGCTCACCCACAGCACCAGCCCGAAGTTCCTCCTCGTGTCCATCAGGTGCGACAGCATGTGGGACAGACCCTGGGCGTGGAGAAACGCGATCGCATCGCACCCATCAGCGAAGCTCTTCATCGTAAAAGTCCCAGCTTTTGTCAGTTGCATAATAATAATAATACACCACCAAAGACAATGCATTTACAGCGTAGGGTCCATTGAACAAGTCAGCCACAGAAACACTTCTTAGGCCAAAGGCCTTGTTTAGGTCATGTTTTCACCCATTTCCGTTTACTTTTTGATTATCCTACAAATTCGATCGATTTAGTTACTTGGTATATACAAATGCAGAACATACAGTATGACAACACAATTGTACAAGTGCCTCCGATGTGTGGAAATCTTTCAAATATACTTTATTCATAGCCCGAAAACAATCCTGAAATTTAATTCCCAGATGGCTGGGTACATCTCATCAAAGAAAACCGCACTGCAATCAACACGCCACGTGCAACGAAAACTCAGAGCGGGAGCACGCAATCCCTTGAATACCCAGCGGTCCGTGAGACCCCCCCCCCCTCCCCGAAGGAACACCGGGGCTTCCTCCCCCTTGCCCTCAGGGGTTTTGTGCGAAGTTTTTGTTACGTTGTGCCTCTACCTCCGAGTTGGGTTGCGCCATGCCGAAGATGGGCTGCTTGGGCACTCGGCGGAAATTCGCCACTCGCATGTCGCGCGAGGTGCTCATCACGTCCAGAGAGACGTGCTCGTCCGACACCTGCCGCGCGCACAAGGGGCGAACACTTAAGAGGCGCTTGCTCAAGCCGAGGCCTCAGGCGCTGGCACAGCCGTCGTTGTGGGCGGCGGAGAGGGCGAGAAGAGTCATTTCTGAAACGCGTTTTTTTAAGTAAGCGTGAGCAAAAAAAAAATGTTTCAATTACATTTTTTATCGTTGTTTTTTTATATCACGATTGCAGGCCCAAAACTCCCAAATGGCCAGCAATAAACAGCACTATTGAAACCATGCCTAAATGGACTCATGGTGATTACAATTCAATATCTGTTGTTTGAGTAGTGGTTTTAATCGAGCTCTCGGTTATTATGTCTGCCAACCATCAATAATCATAATAGTGATAATGCTCCCTATTTATCTAGGACAGACCCACTGAGTCTCAAGACTCTCAAGACATGGGGATGTTGGGTCAATTCCACTTTTGAGTAAACCGGAGCACCCAAAGAAAAGCTATGTATACGAGGGTAGGGGCGGGGGGATAACACCCAAGTTTCACAAAGAACAGAGCCAGTGCTGTCCCTGCACAACAATCTGATGTTCCCAAGCAGTGCGAGTGCACACCAGCACGCGGGAGCCCTTGGTGACGAGGTCTGGCGGGGCGCTCAATTCGGACACGTTGGTCTGGGCCAGCAGCCGGTAGAGGCCGGGGTTCTTGCGCATCCACGCGCTGAACGGAACCGAGAACATCGAGGACACCTGCAGACGTAGGCGGCGGCGGGGAGAGGGGGGACGGAGACACGCGACAAGACGACGGTTATCACCTGGTTAAATGTGTCGTGTGACCAGGTCGTGTGCCAAGTAAGGTCAAGTACAGGATGATGCAATAGTTCGTGACCCGCGGCCAGGAAGATTTGGCGACGGCTGCTTTGGACGATGTTGGAGAGAAGACTGGGCACGCGCGAGGGAAAGAAGAACAAGGCATCGGCCTGACCCGGATGTCAAACATCAAAAGACGGGATGGAAGCCGTCTCAGTGAGACAGTGGAGCGACGGACAGAGTGGAAGTGGAGAGACACTACGTGGAGATGTCGGTGCGGGGAATGATCATGTCCGACAAGGCCAAAATAGGCCAAGGACAAAAATAAGAAGGCCAGAAATGACAATGGTTAAACTCTGACAAGGCATTTGATCATTTACATTAACGAGTTGAGTCTGTATTATTAGATACGGTTCATACACCGGTAACATTGTAGATACATTTGCCGATTACATAACACTCGTGCATTTCGGGTGACATAATGCCGTATATAGTAGTGAACTTGCAAGCAATGCAATTTTTAGGTGGGCAACACAACATTTAACAAGAGCCAGACATCCAAACAGTTTAAGTATGCCTATAAATGCCAGCATGAGGCACAATTAACTCGTGGTTGGAAGAGGCAGGGAACCGTTACAAAAGAATGGTAAATATGAGTGTACAAACTGATACATTGCCAGTTATCAGCTGGTGATTGCTACTGAACATTTCTGGAAATTCAAACCGATAATAATAATGGAAGAGACAACTGATCATAATAAAATTCAGGATGTAATATTATAATAAAAATCATAAAGGTCAGCACCCTTAATTCTATTTTACTAATGCCAACATTTAAATAAATTAAACTGTGATCAAATTACGAATCCTGTGACTGCACATGTTTAGAAGGTTTTACTCACGCTTAATTTAAGATAATTATAGCGGGAATAAAAATATACTTACGTTACGCAGTTGTTATGTACTGCTATTATTATGTTGTTTACCCAGGAGAGCCACCCCAAGTCTCAAATCATTTTCAGGAGGCTCCTGCCAAGTTTGGCTGGAGGAAGCGATGTTGCTGCTGTGCGTAATCCCAATTTAGAGATTTGCAGGTACATTTTCTAGCACTGCAATGTTTGAACAATGCCAGTGACATTGTATGTTTAAGGGATCTGCGAGCCACCCTCACGCACTCGCACCACGCAGACATGAAATCTCCGCACTCAGTAGAACACGCACCAATCACACACACGGGAATACACTAGACGGGGGTCAAGGGTTAAAGGGCACTGATGTCACCCGGACCAGGCGTGCGAGAATGAGGATGTGTATTGGGAACGAGGGCGGAGATGGAGGGGTTAAAAGGGGCTGTGAGACGCGTGTTCCGAGGTTGGTTTTGGAATGAGTGTGGCTGTGGGTTAAAGAATAAAGAAGTGCTTAACCAGTCTCCGACTCCTCTTCATATGTATTGTTTAGCTGTAGGAGCAAACTGGAGGATCCCGAGGAAACCCATGCAGAACAGGGGGAGAGAAGTATAACATGTAGGCTTTCACGACCAATAGTATCCATAAGATTTTTTTTTAAGACCGAAACAGGAGGATTTATCCACAACTTTGGCTGTTGCATGATGAGGCTGGTTGTAATTACCGATGAAACATCGTACTTGGATTGTAAATGTTGTGGGTTTACTCTCCAACACACCGGCTTGCTTAACTAGTAACGAATTGGGATATTTTGTTTTTGCGACAAACATTACTGATTGGCTGTGTCGGGTGGTAGCGGGTTTAACGACGCGTTTACATTCACACGCTCTAACCCAAAAAACCTCCATTAGGGGGAGAGAAAATTAAAACTCCCCAGACAAAGGTGCCCAAGTCACGAATCGAACCCAGGGACTTATTTCTGTGAGGCACAAGCGTTGCCACTGCACTGCCATCCTGCCACCCAAAGCCACAGTTAAATTCTTGGATACAGAAACTGAACATCTCAGCTTTGTTCATAAGTTATTTTAGATAAAGCAGTGGCTAGATCATGGCTGGTGATGATTGCACGGAAGAAAAACTAGGAAAAGAATATTCATAAGCTGTGTACACTTTTAGAGTAAAAACGTTAATAACATTTAAATTTAGAATTTAAACTCTTACCTTATTGAAATGTACCTAAAATAATGATTTATGAATTTCAAATCCATCAGGTCAGTAAGTTTCAAAGCCACATTGAGAGACCATGTGAGGGAAAAAGTAGCTTCATCAAAGTATGACTCTTGTCAGTCTGCATAAACATCAGTTGGTGGAATAAACTTGCCAGCTGTCCGATTTTATCGCTGTACACAGTTTTCTTAAAATACGGTGCTTAATAAAAACATTTACTAGACAATATAAATATTTACAAGGACCATATTTAGTTTACGTAAATATATTGACGGGTATCAAACTATTGAGAATGAGAGCCTAAAAAAGGGTAGCATTGGCTCAAATGGCCAGCTTATTTGAAGTATCATCATTTAAAATATAAAACGTATTTTTTTTTATTTTACCGGGTAAGGCCCGCTGAGCTATATAGCTATTTTTGAGAAGAGACCTAACCACAAATGATAGTCCAATGAAGTAGGCTTATCATGTGGAAATGTACAGAGGCCAAATACTCTAAACGCGTGTTTATAAATGTGAATGGAAAAACAGGAGGTCCCAGGGAAGAATTCACACGGCGACGCGGAGAGACAGTGCAAACTCCAAATATACAGCAGGTGTCAGGATCGGAATATATCCCACGACCTCCTGTATACCGGGCGAGGTAGTTAACATCTCATCACCGTGGCGCCCCAATCGTTACTCGTGAACAGAGAAGATTAAGAATAGCGTGTGCGTACAATCCTGTGCCAATCCACTGCTGGACGAGGGTAGCTCCACGCTGAGGGACGCTAGCCAGAGCGGGAGAACAATGAGATCAAACTCTGTGTCCAGGGGCGAGTTGGATTGTCGTATCACGGGATTACGAGGGATCGATCATGGCCTACGATGATGACGATTATACACCGAAAATAAATAACAAAAAGTCACGACACGTACGTTCCAAAATCCCACTCGTAAAACGATCTTCGCTATTCCACACAAGCCGCTTTCAATGTTACGTGATCGTATGAGGAGGCGGCCGTGTGGGAACCTGCTGGTGGAGGTAGGCGTTGAAGGCCAGGAGGTAGAAGTAGCACTCCAGGCTCTGCACGGCACGTTTCAGGAAGTATTCTCGGGCACTGCTGCCCTGCAGGGGAGGAACAAGGGGACACGCGTCCCATCAGCGAGCAAACACGCCCCCCTCGCGGCACAGCTACCCACTTGCGAGGACAGATTGCGGCGGTGTGCCGTTGGCACGAAGCCTGGACGCGTTTCGCTACCACGCGACCGGGGAGAATTCTTCAGGAGCCCAAGTGAATTCGACAAGCTCAGCAAAATGCCGGGACGTCGACGCCCAACATATCCGCGGCGCAAATCGAAACGCGCACGCCCATCGGTGAGAGCCGAGGAGCAGCACCAAACGTGAAAACCTATTCGGCAGCGCCTCATAGTTCCCACCGAGTAACCGGTGACCAGCGAGTCCCGCTGCTAAGCAGTGATACCCACTGTGGACACAGCTGCTGTTTCCAGGAGCCACGGCTCCTCCGGCCACTGCTTGCTCAGAGATAGCGGCACGCATTTAACCTCGTGTGTGTATATTTCATAAGGACATGCATACAGTTTTTGCGTCATGCAGCCTGGCGAATTAATTAATTAATTAATTAATTTGAAAAATGAATATAAACATTTTGTGTATCAGTCTATGCAGGCACCGTACATGCCCCGTATACGTTTCTCAGGAAATGGGCACTGTGCAAAGTGTTTGCGCTGGGCGAGTGAATGAAAACAGACTGAAGAATTAAAGCTTGCGCGACTGCATAAATTACTCATTGTACGTAGAAATACCATGAAATTATATTAAAATAAAATAAAGTCACGTAGAATGAGAATATTTATTTTATTTTATCAATGTATTATTTTATTCTCATTCTACGTGACTTTACCGAAAGAACCGAAGAAGATGAATCATTGCAGTCACGAAAGCTTTAAATCGAAAAAGAATATACTTTTATGGTATTTCTACATACGTGACTTTACTGAAAAAAAAACAATGAGAAAATAGACTGATTTAACGGGGCCAACATCGCTTCAGATTATTTAACCCTCTGGTTAATGTCACAAAACACCAACATGTAAACAAACTATTTTTAGCTCCGTTTGAACCTGTACTGCATTGATCGCCATCTGAACAGCATACTTGGAGGAAGCTTCACGATAAACACACACACGTGCGTGCGCGTCAAGGGAAATGTGCACAGACAGACAGTACGCAGCTGGCGGGAGGAACAGAATTGAGACGCAGAGTCACCGACCACCACGTGTCCACAGATTCACACCACAAGCCATGGTCAGAGTTGAACAAACGCTCCTCAATCACCTTTAGTGGCCACACTTAGCGGAAGGCAACACGAGAGCGCATCTCTCCGGACGTATCGCCACTCTGTGTGAAATGCGGCTGGAGGGTCTCTGAGGCGTGTCCAATTAACCCTGAAAGATCAATGCTCGCTTCATGTCCAATTAACCCTGAGAGATCAATGCTCGCTTCATGTTCAGAGTCGAGGGCTGACTGCAGGTGTTAGGGCCTGAGCAAGCACGAGACGGGTCTCCTCTCACGTAGGATTGCGCGGTCCCATTAATCGGATAGGATGGTTGGGGGTGGGAGAGATGACAAGCGGAGTGCACGGTGCATGGGATGACACTCTTCACATTAATTCCACCCTCACCGCTCTGCTGTGAGCACGTTCAATGGGCGATTCGTGTTTCCATGGATAATTGCTCCGGAGGCATCTCCAGCCGAGTAACGTGGACGTAACGCACCACCACACCCCCCCAACTTCACTTTTTTCCCTCTCCCCTGCAAATCTGCTGCTCCCAATCGTTGCCCCTACGGTGGTAGGAGGAGGGCAGTGAGGCCCCCCCCCCCCCCCCCAAGTGCTTCCAGTCAGTCCCCTACTTGAGGGCAAATCGCTCCGGACCGTTACGCGATCGTGACCCGTGTTTTCCCGCTCAGATATCTGCGTTGTGTTTTTAAGTTCTTGAATAATACAACATTTTTTGTAAGTAACGACGCCCCATTGCACCTGTATCTGGTAGTCCTCACGAACGGCCTCCAGCTTGCCCTTGTACAGCTGGATCGAGTCTTTGATGTTGTGCATCTCGGAGCAACACAGAATCGCTTCATCCACCTTATGGGAAAATGGGACAACGCAAAACACGGTACAAAAACTGTGACGTTTAATTTGATTTATTATCCTCATCAGGGGCTCTTCTTCAAAGTAAAGCTATTAGCGGCGCCGCGAGCACTAAAAACTTTTAAAATTCGGAAAGTTTGAGTGATGATCAAATAAAAAAACGCATCTGATGTGGGCATAAACTGTTTGGCAGCAAGTATTTATCTCGGGAAGACTGTGGTGATTATGAATGAACAATAGAAAAAAAATACGTAAACAAAACTTTAAAACATTAATGCAATTTCAACCAAAAAAAATCCTCCTCACGCTTTGAAGAGTTACTTAACGATGCTTCCCACTGCACACAAATTGACGCAGCAGGTTTTTGAAAACATTTACGCGACTCAGGCGATCATTTCTGTGCAACGGCAATAAAAAAAAACCAAAACATCCTGAGCCGAATTCACAGGTGGTGAAACGTGTGCTTTTGACGATTCATAGAAAATCAGAAATACAGTTGCATTGATGTTTGGCCACAGCACGTTAGAGGCGTGATTGTAATTATCATACCTCTTCTACGATTTTCTGCCCGTTTGGCATCATGTTGATGAAGTTTTGTATTATTTTGAATGTTCCAACTCCTCCAACACTCTGCGGCCTCTTCCCTGAGCTGATAGGCAACAGAAAAGCATACAATTTTTTTTAATTCTAAATATTATATGTACACTAAAATATGAATAATAGCAACAACTTCGAAAGCACCGTACAATGGCAATCCGTTACAAGGGAGCGCTGAAATATAAACTGATATGAGCCAAGAATGTCTGTGTGTAACACGCGTGACGTCCCTCCACATCGACCTCCCCCGCCCCCGTCATCAATAATCATGAACGGGTGACGTCACTCCGCATGAAGGTGGAGCGGAAACGAAAATTTGTTTACGCAAATTAGCTTTCATTTGGACCTTTATATACTCTTTGGTTCTTTCGGTAAAGTCACGTAGATAGAAAATTAATAGGTCATGACGTTTCGATCGCAACACAAGCGACCGTCATCAGGTGAAACAAACACAGCAGGAGAACTGCTGATGTAGGAGAAAGAGCTGCTGCAACAAGAGGGTATATATATAGGCTTTTGGTGGGCACAACACAAGGGTAAGTGGGCGGAGCTAGAGAAGGAATTTGAACGTAAATGTAAGAGATCAGCATGTCAATGTGAGACAGCTCCAGCAACCGGGGGTTGTGCCAACGAGAAGATTAGCATGTCAATGTCAGAGAGCCGGGCAACAGGAACAATAAACCCGCAAGAGCAAGAGATACACATGGATAGAGAGACACAACAACAACAACCGCCATTCGCCACTAAGTGGCGGTGACCTCACCACGACGCTTGTGCCAGGCCAGGAGAGAGACACACACACAGAGAGACACACATGTAGAGAGACACATACGGAGACACGCACAGAGACACAACACAGACACACACACAGAGAGACACACAGAGAGACAACCACAGAGAGAGAGACACACACACACAGAGACACAGAGAGAGAGACATACACCCAGAGAGACACAGAGAGAAAGACACCCAGAGAAAGACACGCAGAGATACACACAGAGAGACACACAGAGATAGAGAGAGACACACATAGGGAGACAACCCCCACACAGAGAGAGACACACACACATAGAGACACATACAGAGAGAGATACACACAGAGAGACAAACAACCAAAGACAAGACACACAAACACAGAGAGAGACACATACACAGAAACATCACAGCCAGTTATAGTATGTTAAAAAACGAGAGCTCCTGCCACATCGAGGGAAAGGGGCAATGGTAGCTGTGTTAGTGAGACACTTAGTCCGTTAATGTAAAGACATTTAACCTGGTAATGTACTCAAAGAGTCGTAAATAACAGCTGACATAGGCAGGTAGGATGGAAACATCACAGTCAATTAAGACTTTACTTGGTTAATAACGTCCTTCCAATGATTGCTCAGTTTGTACCCATCTTCTCAGTTCAAGTTGTGTCTGTGTTTATATATCTGGATGGCTTCATGAACAAATCTCTGATAGCCAGTGGGTTTGCAGAGTATCTTCATCTTGGAAAAATCTATTTCGTGTGAGCCCACAGCATTAAAAGAATGATCAGCAACGGCAGAGGTATTGGTCCTACCGTGTTTCAGATCTGCCTTGTGTTCGCGAACACGGTCCAAGGCATGTCGTTTCGTTTCCCCAATGGAACTGCTGCCGCAGCCACAACTTAGTTTGTAGACACCAGGGTATTGCATGTCAGGAATTGCATCCTTTACAGATAGGATCAAATCAAGGATTTTGTGTACTGTGTTGAAACGAACCTGGATCTTGTGATTGTTAAGATTTTGGAAATATTTTTGGTAACCCATGCTATGTATGGCAAGGTGATGGTTTTGATTGGGTCCTCAGATGGTTGTCTCCCCATGGCTGGGGAGACAGCTTTGCGGATTGTACGGTCAGAATATCCATTCATCCTGAGGGCTTGGTGTACGTGCTCCAACTCACTGGCTAGGTGGTGCTCGTCAGAGACGCAATGGGCCCTATGGTGTAGTGTTTTGATGAGGGAATTCTTCTGGGCTGGATGGTGGTGGGAGTCAGGCTTTAGATAGGCATTCATGTGGGTGGCTTTCCTGTAGACAGAATGTCCCAACGAGCCATCGGGTCTCTTCTCGATCAAAACATCTAGGAATGGTAACTTTCCATCCTCTTCCACTTCCAGCGGTGTCAAGATCGGCCTCTGTGGAGGAGGCTCGTGAAGGACGCTACTGGGCAGTTGGAGGCAGTCGCCCTCCAACAATGGAGGGCGGAGAAGCGACGCTCACAACAACGAGCGGAGCGCCGGGTGGCTAAAGCACAGCAAGTTGGCACAGTAGGGGGCAAAGGTGGTGCATCAGCCAGTCATCTCAGTCAATTGACCCGTGGCACCTGGGTCTGCCCCGTGACCTCCTGCCAGGGGCGTTCGACACTTTACGTGGCCTCAAGGTGCACATGGCCTGGCACAAGCATCGTGGTGACGTCACAGCCACTTAGTGGCGAATGGCGGTTGTTGTTGTCTCTTTGTGTGTCTCTCTCTGTGTGCGTCTCTCTCTCCATGTGTATCTCTTGCTCTTTTATGGGTTTTTTGTTCCTGTTGCCCGGCTTTCTGACATTGACATGCTAATCTTCTCATTGGCACAACACCCGGTTGCTGGAGCCGTCTCACATTGACATGTTAATCTCTTACATTTACGTACAAATTCCTTCTCTAGCTCCGCCCAATTACCCTTGGGTTGGGCCCACCAAAAGCCTATATATATACCCTCTTGTTGCAGCAGCTCTTTCTCCTACATCAGCAGTTCTCCTGCTGTGTTTGTTTCACCTGATGACCGTTGCTTGTGTTGCAATCAAAACGTCGTGATCTATTAATTTTCTATCTACGTGACTTTACCGAAAGAACCAAAGAGTATGGATTTCTGCAGTCAAGGAAGCTTCAAATCAATTTTAAGCTTTCTTTATGGAAAATAAAGCTGATAAAGAAATCAACGCAGCAACTAAAATAACGAGCCAAAAAAGGCTGTGTGTGTCCTGTGCGCGACGTCACTCCACATGAGGCTCCCCCCCCCTCCCCAATAACCATGAGGGGGTGACGTCACTCCACATGCCGCACCCATTCCCATCAACCATTAGCGGGTGATGTCACTCCACATGGGGCAACCCCCCTTCTCATTAATAATCACGAGCTGAACAATTTTTCTACTGAATCTTTCAGATTTACTGCAATGGGCAACCAAGCTAGTGGTATATAGGCTACAAGTAAACAGAATAAGGAAAACAATAACAATGCATTCTGCAATAACAATTCCGTAAATTGAAGGTAATAATATCTATATGCTACACGTAATGGCCATTGGCCAAAATGCCACCTATTTTTCAGCTTCCCTCCTTTGGTGGAGTTCTTATTATTTCTGCTCATGCACTGCTGCCAATGCAGCATCGCAATATATGCTTTGTTTAACAAAGAAGCCGAAGGCCAGATGGCATTCCAGAACCTCAAAAGACGTCAAAATATTTGTTTACAGCACCGCAAAAAAAAAACACAGCGGCAAGAAATCGCAGGGAACGTGGCTACGCTCGCCGCGTCGGGCCGGAGGTGTCTGTAATGAAATGCCTATATGTCACGCATCCGAGCGGCGGCAGTGACGGCGGCGGCAGCAGCAGCAGCAGCAGCAGCGAGGCACTTGCTTCTCGACGGGAGGCTGGTGCCTGCAGCGAGCGAGCAGCAGGGAGCCAATTATCATGGCCAGGTTGGTTCGCCCAACCCCAACTTGGCAGTTACACAGCAGCGCTGGGAGCGGCCTGGCGTGGTCCATCAGTGCTGTGCTCTCCTGCAGCGCGCAGAGAGAACACGCATCGCGCGCTCAGCTTGTCGTCAGGCAAGATCACCTCCAAACCCGACTCTAATGCGTCGCCCTTCGTTTCCATCCCGCGTGCATTCCCGGCAAACCCCAAACGCTTAATTAGCACTTCGACGGTACGTTGGGTTATCGGCCAGCTCCATTTTTTTAAATATTCTCATTCTCCGCCACCCCTCATCGTGTGTTGCACGTCGGGTTTGAAAGGACGCACGGGTGGGGAGAAAAAGGGAATAGAGAGAAGGAAAATCGATCATTCAATTAACTGTAAAAACGACACCTGTTGTGGGCACTCTAGCAAATCCTGGCTAGTCCACTCGATGCCACACTCCAGTGTTTTAATTGCATGCCGAAATTATACACACGCTGCACGCACATGATAACACGCTTGGCAATGCACGCGGCTAATGGGCTAAAGTCAATTTTAATTGCCCTTCACATTAAAATGGCTTGTCTACATAGCTTCGCGTTCCTGTACAATAAACGACACCTTTCTATTACGGTTTGTCATTAACATGATAAATAAACATAATTACCCATTACATGCTACAATTCAGAATATTTCAATTGCATTTCAAATATACCCAAGATCCCTCAGCTCTACTCTGGTCTGGTGAAAACGCCACTGGTGGCGGGCGGATTGGTTACGCCCATCATCCCTCCGTGGTTGATAAAACGAGTGCCACTTTATAAAAAGGTCAACAGTGATTGTCATATGAATAGATTCATCCCCACCATGGGAATGTGGAACGTCACCACTATCTCAGAGCTGTAAACAGGAGATGAGCAATGCCTCAATGCTACTTTGAACAGGGAGTCACTTTGGCAGAAAAAAAAACACACTAAAAACACATTATTGCATTTTGACAGCAAACTTGGCAAATGCACATTGCAGGGACACACGGCAAGGAACAACTCACGGCGACGTGCAAATTTAAAAAAAAAACATGTTCTAATAACGGACATTTTCCTTTAAAGGTTGGGATGTATGATAGACTTACCCGAAGTACAGCGACAAACGCGTCGAACTGGGTTTCGTCTGGCGCCCCGTCGGCCGGTAGTGGCAGCCTCTTATACCTAAGATTGCAGAGCAGACAAGCACGAGTCATCTGGAATAAGAACGGCGGGCCATCAGCGCGCGCCATGCAGGACCGACAACTGGTAGTGTTCCCAGTGCCGCGAGGGGACATCGCTTCAGCCGCAGGCGAAAGCAAAGTGGAAAATGGTCCAAATTGAAAAGTCCTGAGGATGTAAATTTAAATGTTCCAAGTTTAACACAAAACTGAACTGTGAAAGGGTTTAGCCACACATGTGCAAGGGAACTGATTGTGAAAGTGATTATATGCATTGCAGTGGCATCAGGCCAGATCAATTGATTCATCAAAAAATATTTTTTTGTGTGATCGACAGTTAATCGCGGTGAAAGCTTAGACAGATAAATTCAACGAGACAAGGAATTATGTTTGTCGTGTTAAAGTGGTTTCAACTGATATCTGGAACCGGACAGTACAGATGTGATAAGCGTGCACGTGTCCAATTGTGTTAGCCTATGATTGGCATGAGCAACTTAAAATGAACATTCCTGAAAATGTACAAGAACACTTTGGAAATAGCATACAACTCCTCAAAGTAATAGTCTGACTGCAGCCTTGATTTAATAAACGTTTAGTGGAAACCTAGCAACAGACCACACTTGCACACACAGTCCAAGCCTGGGGCCATTTCATGTTCAGGCCTAGGTCCAACACAAAATTAATTAAAAATCTTCAAATCAACTCATGTCAAGTATTATGCAAGGTGATACATGGAGACATACCAAATTAAATCATAGGAATACATTACAGAGAAAACGACATTTTATTTTAAAGCTTCTCTATGTCTCCAGCTAATCTCAATACACTGATTATGTATATTTCTTTTTTATTTGGTCACTGTCCTGATAAACTCAGTCCCACATAGCCATCACTGCTCACATATTGAGAAGAGAGTAGGAGTCATTAGAAATCAGTGCAGCTGTATATAAATGGAGGACACTGTATATTAATATACTGCTTTTAAATTTATTTGAATATAAATATGGTTATAATTTTATACACATTACAAGCAAACAAACCAACAGTCCCGAACCATACAAAATATGTCTCTTTTATGAGGCCAATTGCAATGACAATTGATTGTTATTGAATATAATTTTTTGAAAATTGTTATTTTTGATTGGCAGGGAACAATTCATTTACATCGTGGCCGAGAATTAACCCTTTCCCATTCCGAGATGCCTGCAAGTGGCAGGGTGGGTCCCATTTACCGCTGAATCTCGGAATGCGCAAGTGGTTCGCGGTAATTTTATTTAGAGAGGCATAGCGCTGTTGTCTTTTAAAACATTGTACTCACCGTAGAGAACCGTAGCGAGAAGACCGCACTCTATGATAGCTGGCGTCAAACTTTGCCACACGCCCTCCTGCATGCCCTTGTGGGAGCCTCGGTAGTGATAACATACAGTGAGGGAAAAAAGTATTTGATCCCCTGCTAATTTTGTACGTTTGCCCACTGACAAATAAATGATCAGTCTATAATTTTAATGGTAGGTTCATTTGAACAGTGAGAGACAGAATAACAACAAAAAAATCCAGAAAAACGCATGTCAAAAATGTAAAAAAATTGATTTGCATTTTAATGAGCGAAATAAGTATTTGACCCCTCTGCAAAACATGACTTAGTACTTGGTGGCAAAACCTTTGTTGGCAATCACAGAGGTCAGACGTTTCTTGTAGTTGGCCACCATGTTTGCACACATCTCAGGAGGGATTTTGTCCAACTCCTCTTTGCAGATCTTCTCCAAGTCATTAAGGTTTTGAGGCTGACGTTTGGCAACTCGAACCTTCAGCTCCCTCCACAGATTTTCTATGGGATTAAGGTTTGGAGACTGGCTAGGCCACTCCAGGACCTTAATGTGCTTCTTCTTGAGCCACTCCTTTGTTGCCTTGGCCGTGTGTTTTGGGTCACTGTCATTCTGGAATACCCATCCACGACCCATTTTCAATGCCCTGGCTGAGGTAAGGAGTTTCTCACCCAAGATTTGACGGTACATGGCCCCGTCCATCGTCCCTTTGATGCGGTGAAGTTGTCCTGTCCCCTTAGCAGAAAAACACCCCCAAAGCATAATGTTTCCACCTCCATGTTTGACGGTGGGGATAGTGTTCTTGGGGTCATAGGCAGCATTCCTCCTCCTCCAAACACGGCGAGTTGAGTTGATGCCAAAGAGCTCCATTTTGGTCTCATCTGACCACAACACTTTCACCCAGTTGTCCTCTGAATCATTCAGATGTTCATTGGCAAACTTCAGACGGGCATATATATGTGCTTTCTTGAGCAGGGGGACCTTGCGGGCTCTGCAGGATTTCAGTCCTTCACGGCGTAGTGTGTTTCCAATTGTTTCCTTGGTGACTATGGTCCCAGCTGCCTTGAGATCATTGACAAGATCCTCCCGTGTAGTTCTAGGCTGATTCCTCACCGTTCTCATGATCATTGCAACTCCACGAGGTCAGATCTTGCATGGAGCCCCAGGCCGAGGGAGATTGACAGTTCATTTGTGTTTCTTCCATTTGCGAATAATCGCACAAACTGTTGTCACCTTCTCACCAAGCTGCTTGGCAATGGTCTTATAGCTCATTCCAGTCTTGTGTAGGTCTAATCTTGTCCCTGACATCCTTGGAGAGCTCTTTGGTCTTGGCCATGGTGGAGAGTTTGAAATCTGATTGATTGCTTCTGTGGACAGGTGTCTTTTATACAGGTAACAAGCTGAGATTAGGAGCACCCCCTTTAAGAGTGTGCTCCTAATCTCAGCTCGTTACCTGTATAAAAGACACCTGGGAGCCAGAAATCTTTCTGATTAAGAGGGGGTCAAATACTTATTTCCCTCATTAAAATGCAAATCAACTTATAACATTTATGACATGAGTTTTTTTGGATTTTGTTGTTGTTATTCTGTATCTCACTGTTCAAATAAACCTACCATTAAAATTATAGAATGATCATTTCTTTGTCAGTGGGCAAACATACAAAATCAGCAGGGGATCAAATACTTTTTTTCCCTCACTGTAAATCTTGATTTAAAGCTTTCGTGACTGCATGGAATTCATATTCTTTGGGTCTTTCGGTAAAGTCACGTAGATGGGTTCAAATTATTTATTTTCTTTTTATTAATTTAAACCTATCTACGTGACTTTACCGAAAGACCCAAAGAATATAGTGATAAAATAAGTTTTATTCGCGTTTTTCTTCCGGTTCCGTCCCAATGATTCCATCGGAGCAGAAACTGATGATGTACACGTACGTCATCCTGGAAAGGGTCAAGAAGCAAAGGGCAACATTGGCGTCGCTGTGGACACGTTGGGAGGGTGGCGTGTGCGCTCGTGGTGGCACCTGTATGGGGGGTAGGAGGGGGAGAACGCCGGCCGGCGGTACACCTCCTCCGAGACGCACACCTCTTCCTCGCTGTGCACGGACTGCGCGTGCGGTTCGTCCGCGAAACGCTCGATGTCCTCGTAGACGAAGTAGGTCCCGTCCTTCAAGCGTGCAAAATCTACCAGCTGCCAAGGGGAAGAGTCCATAAAGCGTGGCGTTAAGCGGAAATTAAATGGACCATTGGCCAAACGGTTCTTAAGCAGTTTAACACGTAGGCTTTCGCGACCAATATTATTCATAATAAAGGTTTTTGGGTTAGATCGCGTTTATTTATAAATGTGTCGTAACCCTCCACCACCCGACACGGCCAATCAGCAAAAAAAGTGTCACGTTGACAAAAGACAAATAATTCACTACTTTAGCCCACCGGTGTGTTGAAGAGTGAATCCACAACATTTACAGTTTGAGTACGACGTTTCGCTGGTAAATACATCCAGCATCATCGGGCAATTCGCCAGAATGGTTCTTAAGCAGCTGATAAAAGTGCCCCACTTTTGGCCGTTATTCATCAAAATCAACATGTGGCACTTACGGTGAGCATAAACCTGGGACCGATGAAGCCAGGTAGCGATGTCCTCACCTCTCTCCGTATGATCACCTCCAGAGATTCCGAGAAGCGTCCTGAACCCTGCATATGCTCCGCTCCCAACCCGTGCAGGTTTTCGTGAAGATTTTCGGGGTCGCGCGGAGTGTACGGCACAAAATCTTCTCCCTGTCTTAGGAACACCACTGGCTCCTCCCGAAGGTTAAAGCACACGACCTCCTGCAGGGGAATAATGAATCATGATTACAGTCTGTTCTCCTATAACGCATGTTTTCATAACGCAAATTGGATATAACACAATTGAGTAAACGGAACTACGTCACAGCGCGAGTAGGAATAAGCGGTCATACGGCTGCCTTGGCATGGCACCACACAAGGCATTGGGATGCTGCTGGATGCTTCTAAACGCTACCCACGTGCCTCAGTCCCTGTTCAGCCTGCATATGCATCTCACGTGTTATCATGCACAGTGTTTTACCCTGTATTATATATTATTTATTATAACGCGATTTTCCATAACTACAACGTTATAGGAGAACATGCCTGTCTTGTGATAATTACACGTCAGCAGCACACGGAGCGAAACGTCGGACATTGTGCAGAACAACATGTGGCACAACCTGGAAATGCATCGGAAAGCCGTACAGTGCAACTTTACAGCACAACCTCAGTAGTGGTAGAAGTAAGCTGCTGTAGGGCTCGCAGTTTTTCAACAGCGGGCGCAACGTAACGCCAATGAACGCTGTTTCAACGTAGAGCAATTTCCCAGACACAATAAAATGTACCATCAATCTCAACTAATTTCAATCTTTGAGTAAAACTCACTCGCACACTGTGTGTAACTCATAATAAGCCCAGGTGTTAAACTGACTGTGTGCAACTGTTACAGCGAGAGGGTGTTCTTTGTTAACCGGCCGTGCGATGTTCATGCGCACTGTCCTGACCATCTAGTTCCTGTCCTTGGCATTTAATAAACGTATTTGATGTGGTATATAAACATAGACTGCATATATTTTAGAATGTAAAACGTTTGCATGTCAGTTACGCATTCGCTGTGCATGTGTTACTGGACACCCTGGACACCCTTGAAAATGCGGGATTTTCCAGCTGGAATTGTTTTAATTAAAACAAAAGCAAAATGCATACAACTATAAACTATTTCAATTTTACAAGGTAAGGCCCACTGAGCTAAAGCTCGATTTCAGAAGTGACCTGGCTATCACAAATGATAGTTCAACGAAGCGGCTTATCATCACGTGGCAATTTATAGCAACCAAATAGTCTTAAATGCACATTGATTCTAAACGTGGAGGGGAAAAACCAGAGGACCCCGGAGAAAAATCCACACGACCAGGCGTCACGGTCGGGATCGAGCCAACGACCTCCTGAATACGAGGCGAGGTAGTTAACATCTCGCCACCGTGAAGGTAGTGCAAGAGAGCGAACAAGCGATGCACACGCCTAGGTGCCCTGAGCCCCCCCCCCCCTTCCACCACACCTGGTGACCCCTGTCCTGCAGGGTGCGCAGCGCTTGCTGGAAGCCGGCCAAGCTGGGCTGGCCCATGCCGTACACGGGCAGGTCTCCGGACGTCTGTCGGAAGTTTGGTGCTCCGACAGGACCCGTGGTGCTGAGCACATCCGCTCCACGGTACAGGTCGCACACAAGGAAGAACTTGCCCTGCGTTGTTTTGATGCAGAGCGCGAGCGTCCACGTGTGTGTACACAAACACGCACACACGCACCAACGTTAACGATTGATCTACTGCAGCATAAGCAAATTGATTGCATTGATGTACATCAGTAATAAGCACATGACTTGTAGTGGCGTTGAAATGGTTAAGTACTGGATGAGAGTGGAGGTTGTCGCAAGCGGTTACTGTCTTAGTAACGAGTGGACAAAACGTGCAGCTCATGAACGTTTTACAGATTTGTCCAATCACAGACAATGCTCAAAGGAACAAATAGCTCCATTATAATGTTAGTTGCCAACTCGTCAGAATTGTAACACGCATAGCAAGACAATTATATTTTACAAGTAATCTGCATAATTAGGGAATGTATCTTCTTTGGTTCTTTCGGTAAAGTCACGTAGAATGAGAATAAAATAATAAATTGATAAAATAAAATAACACAATAATATTCTCACGACGTTTCGGCCACAACACAAGCGGCCTTCATCAGGTGAAGGGACGAGACTGTCTGGAGGACAGCGCTGGAGTGAAAAAGCCACGCTCAGATCGCGACCTTTAAGCTGTGTGAGAAGAAGCAAAGCGCCTTGACAAAGGAATTAGCATATAATTTAGCATTGAAATGGCTGAGTGATTAGCTTGTGACTGGTCACAGAAATGGCTATGTTAAAGTTAAAGCATACACATCCGCAGAGGCACCCCTTGACAAAGGAATTAGCATAGAATTTAGCATTGAAATAGCTAAGTTAAAGCATACACATCCGCAGAGGCACCCCTTGACAAAGGAATTCGCATAGAATTTAGCATTGAAATAGCTGAGTGATTAGCTTGTAACTGGTCACAGACATAGCTCTATGGTATAGAGTCTTGATGAGAGCCCAATGCATTTCCGACCAGGAACACATTACCAGTGAACTCAAGCACGTACACCAGGCTCTCAGGGCTAATGGTTACTCCGACTACACAATCTGCAAAGCCATCACTCCAGTCATGAAGAAGGATCCGCTTGTGGAGCCACTCAAAACCATCACCTTACCCTACATTGCAGGGGTCACTAAAAAGATCTCCAAAATCCTGAATAAACACAAGATCCAGGTCCGATTCAACACAGTACATAAAATCCGTGATCTAGTTCCATCTGTAAAAGATGCTGTTCCAGACATACAGTACCCGGGCGTTTACAAACTAAAGTGCCTCTGTGGTAGTAGCTACATTGGAGAAACCAAACGACATATCTCGGACTGCATCCGCGAACATAAAGCAGACTTGAAACACGGTAGAACGAACTCCTCTGCCGTGGCAGATCACTGTTATAATTCAGTGGGCTCACATGACATTGACTTCTCCAAGACGGAGGTTCTTTGCAAACCAACCGGCTACCATGAGAGATTCGTTCATGAGGCCATTCACATATACAAGCACAGAGACAATTTCAACCGAGAAGATGGATTCTGGCTTAGTAACCATTGGAAAGATGTTTTACACCATTTCCGTTCTTAATTAATTGTATTTTACGATGACCTTCAGACCGCAGCTCTTTCGCTGGCATTGATTCTTAATACCTCTCACACCACGGTTAATGGTATGGTTTACAACATGGAGTATAACAGCACCTCACAGCTGTCTCTCTCCCCCTCCTCTGTTCCGACCATGGATGAACTCGTCCGTCTGAACGGGGACCGTAGCTATCCGTGTTGCTAAAGTTGAGGGTAAGAATCCACCCATTTTTTCGCCATATAGCATTGTGATATATAACGACTTATTGTTGGTAGCTTAGCTGATTGGATAATAGAGTTTATTGATAACATTGAGGTAATTTATATTTTATTTTTTTATGGGTTCACTATATAGTATTCATTATATATTGTAGTGTATACCCAGTTACTGTGAATAGCTCAGATGTGTAGGCCTTGACTTCAACATAGCCAATTCTGTGACCAGTCACAAGCTAATCACTCAGTTATTTCAATGCTAAATTCTCCTGTTTGATTTGTACTAGGTGCCTCTGTGAATGTGTATGCTCTGACTTTAACATAGCTATTTCTGTGACCAGTTACAAGCTAATCACTCAGCTATTTCAATGCTAAATTCTATGCTAATTCCTTTGTCAAGGGGTGCCTCTGCGGATGTGTATGCTTTAACTTAGCTATTTCAATGCTAAATTCTATGCTAATTCCTTTGTCAAGGGGTGCCTCTGCGGATGTGTATGCTTTAACTTTAACATAGCCATTTCTGTAACCAGTCACAAGCTAATCACTCAGCCATTTCAATACTAAATTCTATGCTAATTCCTTTGTCAAGGCGCTTTGTTTCTTCTCACACAGCTTAAAGGTCGCGATCTGAGCGTGGCTTTTTCACTCCAGCGCTGTCCTCCAGACAGTCTCGTCCCTTCACCTGATGAAGGCCACTTGTGTTGTGGCCGAAACGTCGTGAGAATATTATTGTGTTATTTTATTTTATCAATTTATTATTTTATTCTCATTCTACGTGACTTTACCGAAAGAACCAAAGAAGATGAATCCTTGCAGTCACGAAAGCTTTAAATCGAAATTTAGGGAATGTATGTTAGTATCACTTACAAATACATATGCAATTATGGATGGAGCAATGGTGTAGTGGTGAGGACACCGCGCTATTAATTTGGCAAGCTCAGTGCGATTCTCAGCCATGGCTGGTATCAGTGGCGAGTAAAATCTGAATTGGACCACGGCGTCTACCCCTCTTTACCAACCTGCACTGACCAGCGTGGTGAAGTATGGTCAAAACAACCGACTCTGTGTGGATAGGCCTTAATCCAGCCGTGGATTGATAAAGGGGCTGTACAATCATCGTCACTCATAACAGGAAATGTACGAACAACACCCATGATGGATAGTTGCACACATCAATGTCACATGTCTTAATAATGCATAGCTTTTCTTCCTGTGTCGAAGACTATATTTACCAGAAGTGTTATGATTGATGTCGATGGCAATCTTAGACATTTTCACAATTTTTCATAATTTCTTTTCTGTCAAATGTTTACCGTTTAATTCTTGTTTCTAAATTGTCACATTTGCATAATTGTATATACTCCATTAGCCTTACACCTTAGTCTTAGAAAATATTTCGCATGTAATCGGAAATCATTCAGTTTCACTCACACTATTCGATCCGTATATCATGAGCATCAATAATGATCTTAATGATTTAATGCGACATTATAAAAACAATATAATTATCAGCTACAAGCTCGTGCATACAATCTGCATTAATGAGGATAAATAAATGATAATCATCTTGCTTTCCAAACTGACTTTAAGCACTACATTTTTAACATAATAATTGTGTGCGTTTTTAAAATATTTTTTACGAGCTTGTTGATCTGAGAAAGATACCCACTTTTGAAGTTCAAAACAGGATGGTGGTATGAAAGACTTGAAAGAAATGTCAGTTGAATTAATTCATTTCAGATATACAATCATCCAACATGAGTGCTGTGTGTGTGCATCTTAGGTCTCAAGAATCTACCGCAGTGCAATTTATGTACATTGCACCTCCAATTTAGCATGGCTGGCTAAGTATGGCGCGAAAGAAGTTCAATATATGTACATATGTAATGCAGACAGTTTCATGTGTGAAGGTGACAGCCTCATTAATCGGACACACGGCCAAATGTCCTGGGCGCAGACGATACCAAGATATAATTCACGTGAAACTTAAGACGCACGTCACCTGGATGAGGAAATGCTCGGGGAGCGAGTCATTGATTCTCCCCATCCTGTACTCGGGCTTCATCACGTCCTCGTGTATCTGATATTCCTCTCGACAGTTGAATCTAATGAAAACGAAAATGAGCGTATTCATAGTGGCAATAATGCGGCTCAGAGCCATACGAAGACACGTAATGTGCTGCGGGTATGTACCATGGGCAGTGAAAGGCTTTTGAGGAAAGGTTATTGCACGGACACAATGTCTTGTGACACCATTTTCCAGATTTATCTTCTTTGTAGATTCATTCAGAAAATCTGTGAAATTCTTACATGACCATTATTACCTTGTGATCTGGTTTTCAAAAGAAAAGTCCAGCATTGGGTTGCCATCATGAACGTTATTCTCAAAACACTTTGACCAGTGTTCATATTATTCGTAAACAACACAACAACTGTATGAAAAAATGAGTAAAACCTGGCAAATGATACAAAAAAAATCTCCAAATGCAGGGATTATGAGGAAACACACTCGGGTTATAATTATGCATGAAATAAACACCATAATCGATGGCTATAATAAATTTAAATTACATATGAATTATTATATTCTTAGCTCTTTCGGTAAAGTCACGTTGAAGGGAAACAATAAAATAATAAAATATATTGATATATTTTATATTATATATTGATATATTTTATTATTTTATTGTTTGCCTTCAACGTGACTTTACCGAAAGAGCTAAGAATGTGAATTACTGCAGTTACGAAAGCTTTAAATCAAAATTTACATATGAATTGTTTTCATAATAATCCATTAATGTACTGTAAAATTGAATACATTCAGGATAACACAACATCATGTGGAATTGAGCAGGGCGAAGCCACCACTTGAGTTCGATTCCAGGCCAAGGTGAATACATGATGAGTGATACATGATGAGTGATGAGTGATATCTGAACCATTCCTGGGCCCTTCGCCAATCTGCAATGACCAGCTTGGTGAAGTATAGTCAAACAATCGCAAGGACCAACAGTGTGGTAAGGCTGAGCAATTTGTGGAGAATATCTAATTGCGATTTTTCTGACAGATATTGCGATTACATTTTTTAAAGTCAAGCTTCAGTTCAGTATCCACTGTGTAATAGATTGAAAACATGTGATGGAGCATTACCACATGATACCATAAAATATGAACTGCTCTATACAGGGGTTTAAAAAGATGGACCCAATTTCAAAGCTGTATATTTCACGATGGCAACATGTTACAATTACACAAAAAGTTACAAACGGTTTAATGAGTTATCAAGTTTTATTAACCATTTATAAATGCTCTATGTGCCCTTCACCTGCTGTACGGACAACATCGAGACGAGAGTTTAATTCGTCCCAAACGCCTCTCAAAGTGTCTTCTTCCACTGAAGTCACCGCTGCCGTGATTCTGTTTTTGAGGTCATCCAGATTAGTCGCTAACGGTGGCACAAAAACACCACGGTCTTTTGTGCCACCATGCTCTTTGACATTGGCGGATCAATGCCAAAACGCCGTTGAAATGCACGCTGCACGGCAATAACGGGTTCAGTTTTGCTGAACTGCAGAATGCAAAACGCCCCTTGTGTTGCGGGATCGCCATCTTGCGAATGACTGAGGCTAGGGGCTGTTTGTGCGCTGGGAGAGGCATCGAGCGGTAATCATTTGAAACTCTATGCCCCGCCCTCTCTATGCCCCGCCCTCTCTATGCCCCGCCCTTTCAAGTGGTAAGAGTTTCATTCATGGGCGGTTCGTGGTTGCAGAGATATAGCGATTTCAAATCGGGTCCATATTTTGAAACACCCTGTATATTCTAATGCAAGGATGAGAACTTGAAAGATATTATTTGCTTCCAACATGTATTTATTAAAAATTTTAATTGAAATACAACAATCAAACATAGAACAATTGTTAAGTTCAATAAATACAGTTATAATAATAAAACAATTCCAATAACAAAATAATAGGACTTTTCAAATCGCAAAAAATTGCAGCCTTTGCGATTTGCTAATCACATTGTTTCAAATTGCGATTTCGATTTGAAATCGATTAATCGTTCAGTACTAGTGTGTGGATGCCTTCATCCAGCAATAGGCCGACAAGGGGTTATAAAATTACATTAAAAAAATCAAGTCCACAAACTGGGAATATTGTTTTGATACGGCCCATGACTGTGGCCCATAGACATAATGATGCAATGCATAAAACAACACCCACCAGGATGCACAAACATACCATACCTGATCATCGCATTACAACATAATAATAGTAAATATTGCAATATTGTGATAAGCATCACATAATATATGTTGACAATTCATACAACATAGTGTTCTGTCGTAATTTAATACAAATATTTAAACATTCAGAATCGGGATTGTTATTTACAACGGGCGATTTTCTCTATCGAGCATTTACATCTGTACCAAATAATGTGACGCGTGTGTTGGGTCTAATAATATTCCATTGAGCAAATTACACGCATATGGGAAAAAGATGCTCTTGCGTGTTTATATTCTCCACAGCCTTATCAACCATCGTGTAATCTTCACGAGGCTGCCTTTCTTCTCCGGACCAAATTTAAAAACGCTCTCCAGAGGGATTTTTTTTTTATTCACTGCTCTGACTGTGGCATTCCCCACTGATTAGTATTTGCTTTATTGCCTTGTGACATTCACGCAAATCTCAATGCACATCTTTCTATGGAAGCCTTTAGGTGATTCTGTTAGGAGTTGGGCCATTGTTATATTGGATTCTGCAGAGTTATCTCTTTCGTGTGGTTTGTTGTTTTTATTTTCACCCTTGGGGGTTTCTATAGCTATTGCATGGTCAAAGTTGAACTATATATTCATTTTTTTAATTACTGGTGATGCATTTTGTAAAGAACCATCATGCTTTTTTGGAAAGACTCCTTCCAAGTTACAATTATGGTTTATTTCATGCGTATTTGGTGTTGTGACATTATAGTTGTGTGTGCCCTCTTGCATGGTCGATACGGTGTGAAATTGGAATGTGCCCAGAATAGAGCTGTGAATTTTTTTGCAAGGGTTGACAAAACAAAACATTACTGCACAACTATCTTATGGGACCAAGAGCTCAGCGGACGTGTTATTTTTTTTCCATGTAATTATTTAAGTAGCACTTGCATTCTCTATTTGATCCAAATGTACGTTATGATTAATAAACACTTCTAAGACGAAACAAATTACTTTAGTTGTAGTAGAGGTGCGTTCATAAGTATACGTATCGTGAATTTATTCAGCTGCGCTAACGAACTCAGTTTTTTAGATTGTGTGTGTGCTCCCCTCCCATTGTGAAAATGTGCATTTCTTTCGAACTGTTTTTTTTTGTTTTGATTTAAAGCTTTCGTGACTGCAGTGATTCATATTCTTGGTTCTTTCGGTAATGTCATGTTGAAGGGAAACGTCGTGAGAATTTGATTGTTTTATATATATTTTATCATTTTATTGTTTCCCTTCAACGTGACTTTACCGAAAGAACCAAGAATATTTTTTAGTGTGTTTAGCTTGTTGTCCTTCCCCCACACCTCTGATTAGCACGGTTGGCTACATACACGTGCGAAAGAAGTTCAACAAACACACACACACGTGCAGTGGCTCCCAAAGGGTACAGAGTTCATATTTTAGGACACCCCTTCCCTAAACAACGTATGTTAACCCCCGCCACAACAAAGCGCAAGTGGCCATCGCGTGTTATGGGGTCGCAGAAGCACTCACGTGATGAAGACAGGCGCCACCTTGTTGGTGATGACGGACTTGGCACGGCTGGTGTGGTGATACAGCGTGGGTATGGAGTGCAGGCTGGGCGTGCTGTTGGCCGACCCGTTCGCGTTGGTAGTGTGCAGGCTGCCAAAGGTGGGTGCAGCCCCACCGTGGCTTACCGTTGTGCCCATGGCTCCCTGAACAGGCCCCTCCAGCGTCTGCGGCAAGCACATCGAGACAAAATGGGCCAGCAAAATCTCCCCCAGTGCGGCGTTTAGCAACCACGAAGAAATAAACGAGTTCTACGCACTTCGTGTTAAGCGCACAATCGTAATTTCCAAACTCTTTGTCCATCCACTGCTGGATGAGGGCTGCCCCATACAATATAGGTCATGGTTGTTTGTTTCATTGTGCTACTTCATCACCACGTTGGTCTGTGTGTGTGGGGGTTGGTGAAAGGGGTGGGCCCAGGAGTGGGCCCAGGACCAGTTCAAATATCGCTTCACCACTGATGTTAGCCGTGGTCAGGCATCACACTTGGGCCGCCGGGCTAATAGTGCAAGTGTGTGAACCACTGCGACACCGCTCCAACCACGTAGATAGGGCAGGCACTGTTGATTATTTTGCGCATTTTGTTTGATCGGACCAAACGTTGAAATGCCAGAAAGCGCGCTGGGGTTAGAGCTGTGATGCATGGACACGTGACCTTCAAGGAGCGGGCTTGCGCTGTACAGTGTGCAGGAAGGCAGAATGTGCATGTGGAAAGCTCATTTTCTGCAGTTCTCGCACCACAACAATTGGGCCCTCTATGCACAAAGCTGCACGACATGCGAACCGCACTCTCCCCGCCTCAGCAATGACTCCCCCAGCACCCCAAACGCACACCCCCCCCCGTCTGCCGTCCCACCCATCCCACCTCCTTGGCCATCTGTGTCTCCATTAGTGTGTTTCCATTAGTCAACGAAGGTAAACATGGCCTCGAGGAAGACGTGTGGACAGTTTTACTGCATCAGTGAGGTGGTTCATTTTGTTGGTTTAATTGGTAAGCTGTATTTCGTCGGTAAACGAGCTTGGCAGTTTTGCCCTTCTTGGGGAAGTGTCAATTCCGCAGGTCGAATTGAAATGTAGATGCAACCACACGGGCCAGCACCACGGTCCAATAACACATTCGAGCAACATTTTTTTCGTAAAACCTTAATTTTAAAAGAAGACTTTCGTGCAATCGAAAATAATATAAAAGCAGTCATAGTGTGGCACAAGCGGGCGTGATAAATTATTATTATTTTAAAGAGGCATATGAATTCCTTTTTGTTTACAATTTGTATGCTAGCTTTTATTCTCATTCTATAATTTCAGTACCAACACTGCAATTACCGTGAGCTTACTATGATGGAATACATATTAGCTGCGTACGTGCATGCAGTGTGGGCGTACTGTACGTGCGAATCGATTGGATTTTTAAGACCACCGTAAGAATGCTCGCGAGCATGAACACGTTCTTGCGGGCATCAAAAAGAGTATTGATTTAATGCCATATAAAATCTGCTATTCATAAACATGCCCTGCTGGAGATTGTATGTTGGTTGAGATTTTAAAATACCACCAGAAAAGGATGTCGTGCAAGGAGCAACTCTATTATTTTCAAGTCCACATTGTTAAGATTTGTTTTGCATGTATGTAACGTATTTGGCACATGAAAACGTAGCTAAAATACTCCTCGTAAGACGCATGCAAAAGAATGTGCAATATTTTTTTTTACGTGGCAAACGTTACGTTTGCATTATTAACAATTTAGGAGAAGCAGTGGTGCAGTGGTTAGCACACTGCGCGATGAACCTGGTGACCCGATATTCTTGATTCTTTCGGTAAAGTCCGAGTTAGATTCCCAGCCACAGCTAACATCAGTGGGGAGTGAGATCTAAACCAGTCCTGCTCTCTCCCCCAACCCCTTCTCATTAACCAGCACTGACCAACGTGGTGAAGTACGGTCAAACAACCCCCATGACCGACATGGCATGGGGAGACCTTCACGAAGCAGACGACCTTCATCCGGCAGTGGATTTGCAAACGACTGTGAATTACTAATTAGATCTTAAATGGTGAAAGCTGGAATTTCACAGAACCTACCCAGATAGATTACACCTATACAATTGCGTTAGATCCATTGTATTACATCAGAGCCTTACCAAAACACTGTTGTCGACTCAGGCATATATTCTGACATCTTACAGCAGACTAATTTTCTGAATTATCACAAAGCACAATCCGTCTACTTGCGCATGATGCTCAACTGGACACTGGGCTTTTGGGAAAATCGGAAGAAAACAGCAGCAATAGGTCAAGACACGTGACAACCTCCTTCACAAGCTGGCTGGTTCCATCACGGGGTGCAGGTGCCTCAGCCTTACGGACGTCACCTATCGCTATATCGTACTCGGCCGCAGAGTACCGCGCACCAGTCTGGAGTCAGCCGTCACACACCGGGCTCGTCGATGCGCATCATCTCGGGAACTCTTTGACCGACCCCCCCCCTCTCTATCATAGCTTCCAGTCCTGAGCAACATTGCTGCCCCTCACATCCGACGAGACGTTGCAACAACTACCAAGCTAACCGGAGATCAAAATCAAGCTTGCCACTCCACAAAGATCTCCAACATCCACCTGTCGCACATCTTTCATCATCACAACACCCACTGCGGTCCAAATAGCCGCACCAGGACTGCTTTTCAGGAAGTCACTGGAGCTATGGACTGTAAAATCTAAATTGAAAAGTAGTTTCTTTAAAACTGCTTTCTGCGTTTAGTCCATTGTCATTCCCCCTGCACCTCCAATTAGCAAGGTTGGCTACGTACGGTGCGAAAGAAATTCAACGAATGGGGTGAAAGAAATTCAACATATGTACATACATTGGCAGATACCTGCAGATGGGTGAAATGGAGGGTAAAATCAGCACCAACCCAGTCCGTTATCGTAGAACGTACAGTCTCACCACCTGGCATCATCCTACTACACCCCTGGGAGTGGGCCTTGCTGAACAGATTCCAGGCAGGGCAAGGTCTCTGTGCAGCCAACCTCCCCCGTGGGGGTCTTCATGACAGCCCACACTTGCAGCTGTGGGTCTACACAAACAATTCTGTAGCACATTCTTGATGACTGTCCAGTGGAGGTCTACGAGAACTACACATGGCCACCGAGGATGCTACCGCGTGGCTCGGTGATTACGCACACATTGAATGAAAAGGATTATCCAAGCAAGTTATGTTGGTAAATGTATTAAATAATGGACACTCCCAATGGACAATGGGAATGTTTCCCACCATACTCACAAGGTCGCACAGATGCATTCGACTTCCAAAACTCTTAAGATGAAGGACAGAATGACATCCACATCCCGCATAGCTCTACCAGGTGTCAGATGACACACGGTCTTAAAAGCAATGTGATAAATGTATCACCGTCACTTCAGTCGCTGTACATACCTGTGTACAATCTGCACAGCTGCTCATAGTTTCAGGTTGAGAGCCAGGACTGTCATTGTTGGCTCCAGATAATTCTAGTTATTTGCCTAACTTACCTTAGGCAGAAAGGTATAATTTTCTTTGTAAGGGGAGAGTGCAACACGGCAGTGTTTTTCAATACAGACTGGGTGGGTCATCAGTCGCTCATTTTCAAGATTAATCCATTCGGTTTGTCTACGCCATCCTCTGTCAAGTCATCCCTTCTGGATGCTTCATTAAGAATATATACTTACAGTAACATCCCACTTGAATGTGTAGTACAGGCTTTCCCAAGGGCAGAATATTAATGAAAGTGAAATGTATAAAAATGTATAAAATCCATTTCAAAACAGCTAAAAAATAAATGGTTTGCATCAGCGTGCAGAAATGTAATAATCGAGAACATTAAAGAAACTCATTGAACTTGAATATACAGCAGCTGTGTTTAAAAATAATAAACGTGAAGTCCACGCCGTGCTGGGTACAACTTGCCTACTTTATACACACAGCTGTTGCACTGCAGCACAAACACGTCACACAGTAAAAGCAAAGTGACAAGCTTTACATGTTGTGGATAATATATAATTTAAAGCGCGAAGATATTAACCACAGTACCATAAAAGGGACAATAAAAAAAACTAAATAAAGATACTGTATACCCTGAGACAGTATGGTGCATAGGATGACACCAGGCCTTAAATTCCAGTTTGACTGTTGACCTCAATATGAACGCTGCATTCATTAAATAAATGTCCAGAATATGAATGGATTAACGTAGGGCCCCCTTTAAACACAGACTATTGTGAATTAAAACTGGAACATTATTCGGTGGAGTAATTATTATTGTCAAGTCAGGCATCATCATCATCTCACTTTCCACACCTGAAACAAATCCCATAGGAACAACGTTACTTTACCTGTGCACTGCCAAAACATTACGCACACTTGTACATTGAATACGACGCTATATGTACTATATATCTGCATTCACCTTAGTATATCACCTGTCCTTGGATGGGCGACGACCATGCATCAGTATAACATCTCGTGTTGCAGGCTACTGCGGGACAAATCTGTCGGCAGCGGACGGCATTGTGAAATGTAACTCCACAACGTTGCGTTTTCTTCCGTCAACGTGGATTCACAATCGATATTTGATTCTTATGGCGGTACCCCGGGGTACCAAATAATACAAAATGGCACCAGGCAATTAAATATTCCATTTCTGGGACACGAATATTTCCAGGGGTGTTACTTAAACTCCGCTACTGGGGTACCAATGAATCCGAAATCGGTGCCACACTCCGCGATGTCGAAACGCCAGACATTCACATAAAAAACCCCGTTATCGAATAAATAAACTTTGAATAGTGCATCGTGAGTACAGCGAGTCGAGAGGAGTCGCTTGCCGCATCGCCGACCATCAACACAGACTAAAAGTGACTGCAGCATCAGGGGCACGATGGTACCACCCCGGGGAGTACAGCCACAAGGTTCATTTGGCGAGGCCACTTTAACGAGATCACCACATTTGTTTTTAAGAATCATTCACCGCTGCCTCATAGGGCCATGCTAATTGTCACCTTGGCATGTGGTGGAGGTGGTGGCGGGTCTTAACGACACGAACGCGGTCAGATAATGTCGTGGCCGAAAACCAGAAAATGTGTTATGAAGTGAAGTATATTCCGATAATAATATAACTCACACGACCCGCGCTGCGTGGGGAGGCCCTCATCCAGCAGTGGAGTGCTTTGCATACAATAACGCACATGTACATCATATGTCCGCAACGTTTAAATAATGTACGGTATGAAGTGCTAATCGTGTGATATAATTATGAACAGGCCTAATACAGTATTCTGTATTAACGATGACAATTCCCTGCAAGTACGGAATCGTAATTACAATACATAGTAAAAGCGAAGCCCTGCAATGTTTTGCAAGGGCCTTCCGCTGGAGGGTAGCTCTCGTGCAGCCTCTCTCAGCGCGTATTTGGCCTACTCTTCCACGTTGGCGAGACAGAAGAAGACCTGGCGAGTTTCCCACACTTTAACCCACCACACGAGGACCTTGCCCGTCCGCTTGTGGCGCACAGCGTTGTGCGGGCAGCTCGTGCGCCGGTCCGAGTGGTACGGTGTGAAAGAAGTTCAACACACATATATACACAGCATTAACACCGTGGCCTTGTATTACCCCTACCCCGATAGAATAATAACAATAATAATAATACCCAGCCGGGAGATTGTTCGCGTATTCGTTGAAAGGCGACGTTGCTGCATGTACGCAGCGTGTTGGAACTTCTTTCCCACCGTACGTAGTAGCCGACCGTGCTCATCATCGGGCGGGTGCGGGATGCATCGGAAGACGAACACAACGTGAAGACGATGGGTGATGGATGCACGCGTGTGGGCTCGAGGCCACGCGCGAACACGGAGAGCGATGTTATTAAAGCGACAGCATGCGTTGCCTCTTAGAATGCCTGCGCTCTGCGCATTACTTGATCGCAGCTGCGCTTTAACACGCGCGACACTCACGCACATTCCACGTCGTGCCCCAGCGCGGGTACCAAAGCAGGTACCGTACGGGGTGGTGGGGTGGAGGGGGGCACACACCCGCCTGCTCCTCTCGCCACATTCACAGCTCGATAGGACGGCGGGAGACAGCGGGGATCGGGGGTGGCAGCGGGTTATATACTGAACGTTGTTGCATCGCGCAAAAAATCCAGACGCTTATGGGCCTCCTTCCTGCTCCTCACTCCAACATCCATTCCCCCCTACGCAACTTCCTTCGGCTCCCGTCCGACACCCAGCGCGCGCGCGCACGCACGCACACGCCACCATTAACGTCGACGAGCAGCATCATCAGCATCATCGTCGTGAGAAGCGCCACATTTACCGGGCGGCCGAGGGTTTACTACTCACGCGTGCCGCTTTAGTCTCAAGCAAATCGATGGCTGCGCCGCTCATCGCTCCATGGTCTCAAAGCAGGGCTGCTGGCCGGGCCGAGCAACGCGCCTCCCCATCTGCGTCCATGTGTCGGCACGGGGAAGCGGCGTCGTCTTCAATGGGACGTGGGAGCAGAGAACCCCGCGGCAACACCGCCCCCTCCTCCTCCTCCTCCACCACCACCACCTCCCCTCGCGTGCATCCCCATCCCACCCTAACTCCACCCCAGCTCTCACACAGCCCCCACAACATTCACGCGTTCCTGCAACAATAATGATTCATGTGGACGCGAGACGAAACTGTTAGCCGGATACAGCCAAAGTCCCAAGCTGTCTGTGTGTTGAGTGGTGGGGGCCAACACCGCCAGTGACGATTATCTGAACCGGTCTTGGGCCTCCACTAGGTCGACTCAGCCTCAAACGAGTACCTGGTGCGGTGTGTAAACATCGCCACTGGGGAGACAAAGGCGGCCGGGCGTTGTGCCGGCCTTTATAGGTGCTCGCTAACAGCACTTGCCCCTAAAGTCTGTTACAGGCTATAGGGAGATATTTGTCTTTGTGATGGGGAAGCGGTAGTGTAGCGGTTAGCGCGCTGCGCAACAAAGCCGGCGATCCGGGTTTGATTCCTGCTCACGGCCAACACCAGTGACGATTATCCGAACCGGTCCCTGGGCCTCCACTAGGTCGACTCAGCCTCAAACAGGTACCTAATGCGGTGTGTAAAATATCAGCACTGGGGATACAAAGGCGGCCGGGCGTTGTGCCGGCCTTCATAGGTGCTCGCTAAAAGCCCTTGCCCCAACAGTATGTTTAGGCTATACATGGGATCTTTGCCTTCTTTGGTGCAATAAACAACCCTTATTTATTGTGACTGCCAAACGTGGTATTTTGAAAGCCAGTATAGATCTCAACATCACTTGAATATCATGATATTGGTACTACAAAGGCCCCCGAAATGAATTTAAAATGTACGGCTCTTCCATGTGTTTTCAGGTTGTGGTGCGTGTTTGGTAAGATGTCTGACCCTTCACTTCACGTGCTGTGCTGGAAGCTTCTTCAGTATCTGAATTCATAAAATGGGAGCTTGTTCATATTCTTTGGGTCTTTCGGCAAAGCCACGTAGATATAAAAATAATCAAAACAATAACAATATCACAACGTTTCGATCGCAACACAAGCTTGTTCGGTAACTGAATCCACATGCTGGGAATGTCTTGAGTAACTGAATTAACTTACCGGGCGTTTGTTGAGTATTCAAATATATGATCCAGGTCCGATTTAACACAGCACATAAAATTCGTGATCTGATCCCATCTGTGAAGGACAAGATCCCTGACATGCAATATTCCGGCGTCTACAAACTAAGCTGTATCTGCGGCAGCAGTTACATTGGAGAAACTAAGCGACATGTCTCGGACCGTGTTCGTGAGCATAAGGCAGATTTGAAACACGGTGGGACCAATACCGTACTTCTGCTGTGGCTGATCATTATTTTACTGCGGCTGGCTCACACGAAATTGATTTATCTAAGACGATAGTACTTTGCAAGCCCACTCGCTATCAACAAAGATTCGTTCATGAAGCCATCCATATATACAGACACAATTTCAACCGAGAGGATGGGTATAAACTCAGCAATGATTGGAAAGATGTCATCAACCACTTTGGGTCAAGACTTGATTTGTGTTTTCTTGTTACCTTTCCCCAGAACACATATGCCCCGCCCACTTCGTTCTGACACCAGGACCGCTTGTGCCACGCCCATTATTGAAACCTTTATAAACGGTTGCCTTCGGTGACCTCCCCCCTCTTTCCTCCTGAAGACGATCGCTTGTGTTGTGATTGAAACGTCGTAGTTTTTATTTTATTTACTTTTATTTTTCTATCTACATGACTTTACCGAAAGAACCAAAGAATATGAACTCCTGCAGTCACCAAAGTTTTAAGTCAAATGTTTGTTGAGTAACTGAAACCACACTATGGGAGTTTCTTCAGTCACTGAATTCGCATGGTGGGAGCTTGTTCAGTAACTGAATTACTGAATTCAATTGCTGGGAGCTTGTTCAGTAACCGAATCCACATTCTGGGAGCTTCTTTAGTAATTCAATTCACATTATTGGAGCTTCTTAAGTAACACAATTCACATGCTCGAAATATCTTCATGAATTGAATTCACATGTTTGGAATTCGGTTGCTGAAGAAGCTATGAATTATTTCAACAATGTTTTGAATTTCGATTTAAAGCTTTCGTGACTGCAATGATTCATCTTCTTTGGTTCTTTCGGTAAAGTCACGTAGAATGAGAATAAAATAATAAATTGATAAAATAAAATAACACAAAGAACCAAAGAAAATGTTTTGAATTTTACCAGGTAAGGCCCGATGAGCTATATCGCTCTTTTTCAGAAGTGACCCGGCCTCAAATGATATAGAAGCATGTGTCTAAATGTAGAGGGACTCTCCAAACTTGAGGACATGACCACGGGGAGAACATACACACGTGAAATATACAGACATCAGGGTGGGGATGGAACTCAGAACCTTCTGTATACGAGGCAAGGCACTTAACATCTCGCCACCGCCACGTTTGCACATGGAGCAAAACATGGGACAATATGCCGAACAACATTTTGTACCTCCGATTAGCGTAGTTGGTTACGTACGGTGCGAAATAAGTTCAACATACAAACAACATGCGAGATGACTCAAATACACATCGTAGAGCTGTTACAGCACGATTGCAAAAACCTACACCTAGGTATTGAAATGTTCAGTTCAGGCGGTACTGCATGCGATGCTTGTTTTCCAGCAACATGCATTTTGTTGTAGAGGGGAATGCGAGTTGTATTTGTCAGAGGAATCTGGCTTCCACAATAAAGTGCTCCCTTGCAAACAGGATCTTTAAAAGGTAAAGATCAGATCTGGCCATGGTTTCACAGCACTGCTGATGGAGGGCACCCCTTAACATGCTCCTGCACGGTGTGAAGACAGGTCAAAAACACTGAACTTCAAATTACAGAACTCCTCTAAGCTGTTGTGATAGAGATAATCGATATTGCAGATCCTGATATCCGCTGGGTTATCTGTCAATTTACTCCTTTCATCCACGGGAGAAATAATCGCGAATGACCACTCAGATGACAGGATAAATTTGACCACTCAGATGACACGATAAATTTGACCACTCAGATGACAGGATAAATTTGACCACTCAGATGACAGGATAAATTTGCTGCGTGACCACTCATGTACACGAAAAAAAATGTTGAGTACTAGGAAGCAGATTCGCTTTGCATTATGGGTAAAACATGGAAAATAGAAAGAAATAGGGCCATGGATAATAGGAGTTTTTTCAGACCCTATAGCTGCCACCGATTCAGAGATGCATGGGTACTAGGGCCGTGGGCAAGAGGCGTTCTCCTGCATCCAGTAATTCTGGAGCGTCTTAAATTGCTATCTCATTTAGATGTCCTTGAAATTAATGTTATATTGCAACATTAGTGTATTTCCTAAATGCAGTGTATGCTGTTACGGTGCGGCTCATTTGACATAGGTCATGGTGCATTGCCGAGATTAAGCTGTCCCAACAGACAGTGATATTTAAGACATATTGTCACCAAGTACAGTACGCTAACACCTACATGTGAACATGTACGATTATTTACTGAGTGGTTTCCAATTGTATAGCTGTCTCAATACTCTTTGGTTCAATTCAGTAAAGTCACGTAGGTAAAAACTAAAACAACAAAAATCACGGCGTCTCGGCCACAACACAAGTGGCCTTCATCAGGTGAAGGGACCAGACTGTCTCGAGGACAGCGCTGGAGTGAACACAGCTAAGCTCAGAACGCGACCTTTAAGCTGTGTGAGAGGAATGAAGGTGCCTTGACAAAGGAATGAGCATAAAAAATAGCATTTAATTGGCAGACTTAGCATGATGAACGGTGTAGAGGGGGTGAACATGTACAGACCGGCGAGGGGGGGAGGGGAAGTTTACATATTGATGGTGTGAAAAGGGAATTTATAAGAGCTGCGAAAGTTTGGGGTACCACTACTTGAAAAAATATACTGTACCATTGAAAATTAGTTTAATGTTTGGTTCGATTTAGAACATCTTTCCAATGGTTGCTTAATTTGAAACCATCTTCTCGGTTGAAATTGTGTCTGTGTTTGTAAATCTGAATTGCCTCGTGAACAAATCTCTGATAAAAACCCGTGGGTTTGCAAAGAACCTTGGTATCGGAGAAAATTATATCGTGATCACCCACAGCGTTGTAACAGTGATCAGCTATGTCAGAAGAATTCGTTCTGCCGTGTTTCAAATCTGATTTGTGCTCGCGAATTCGTTCAGAGACATGTCGCTTCGTCTCCCCGATATAGCAATCACCGCAGGTACAACTCAATTTGTAAACCCCGGGGTACTGTAAGTCAGGAATGACATCCTTCACGGATGGGATCAGATCACGAATTTTATGTACTGTATTGAACCGGACCTGGATCTTGTGTTTGTTTAGAATTTTGGAAATATTTTTAGTAACGCCTGCTATATATGGTAGTGTGATGGTTTTGACCAGAGTATCAAGTGGTTGTTTCTGTATGGAGGGAGAAACAGCTTGGCGGATGGTGCGGTCAGAGTATCCATTCCTTTTGAGGGCCAGGTCTACATGTTTTAATTCACTGGTCAGGTGGTGTTGGTCCGAAATGCAATGAGCCCTATGGTATAAAGTTTTGATGAGAGAATTCTTTTGAGCTGGGTGGTGGTGGGAATCAGGTTTCAAGTGGGAATCTGTGTTGGTGGGTTTCCTGTTGACAGAATGCCCCAATGAGCCATCAGGTCTCCTCTCAAACAGAACATCTAAGAATGGTAGCTTGCCATCTTTCTTGCCATCTTTCTCCATTCACGGGTTTTTATCAGAGATTTGTTCACGAGGCAATTCAGA